TTCCCTCATTCTTCCCAGTGATGAGGAAAGCAAGTGCTACATTGCTGGGTACAGATGTAGTCGCTCATTTACCTTTGTTTGCTCCGATTTAGCCCAAGCAAAGACGTCTGAGGTTGTATTAGGCTGATGCCAACCAGATTTCTCATCCGGCTGAGAAACCAGTGGAAGGGGGTAGGGGGAAAGGGCAGAGACCCTTACGGCATGTGTAGCAGGCGTACGCACATTGCAGCTGTGTGTACCTGTTGTGTCTGTAGAAAGCAAAAAAGGTGAAGTCAAGAATATATGATGATACCATTTCTGCAGCATTGTGGTCTTAATAAGTAAATGTGATAGAAACAGATGGACTACCTTTTATTGGATAAACTAGTTAGTAAAAAAAAGCGAAGCATTGGAGCATATGAGCTATTTGCCACATTTCTTTTTTCAAGGAAAAATAGCATTGCTAGTAGATACTTTTATGTGAAGTCATTGAAATTAAGGAATGTGTCCATATGTAGCTTTTTCACAACCACATTTGATAGACAGCATCATGAAATTTGCTGAAGACTTTGTCTGGATGACTAACTTGTAAGCCAGATTTGGGGATCATGTACATTTTTCATTTTCTCTGCTAGAACGTTTCAACCGGTTAGAAAGTTTTCTTTAACGTTCCTGCCCTCCTTTAAAGACTTCCCAATTGTTTCAGCTTACTTTCAGTACTTCTTTCCCCACCGCCCTGTACTAATTTGACACTATTTCTTGCATATATTGGGGATTTTGGGTAGTGTAGGGATATGATAGTTAAGAATGTCTACTTTGAAACTTTTTTTGTGCATGCTCTTTTGAAAAGATTTCCCTTAGTGCTGCAGGTAATGATTAACAGAGATCTATTCAAAACTTAGATTTCATTATTATAAGCATTCAGCTAATTGTTTATTTACAAATGGACTGTGGTTAATAGACAGCACCATCAACAGGAAACTCTTTGAGTACCAGGAAGTGTTTCAGCACAAAAAATTCAACCAGATAAAAAAAAAAATCAGCCAGATTTAAAAAAAAAAAAAAAAAATTAAGGAAAAAAAAGATGAGGGACATGGACATTCTTCACAAAACCAGTAATAGAGAAGATGCTGAAGTTCTGTCCCCCAGCTCATTCCGTAGAGAATTACTCTGGGGCATGGGAGGTTCCTGCTCCTTTCAGAAAATTCAGAAAATTTGTTCATCTGTGACAACCACTGAAATTGCTGTATGAGATTAAAACTATAAACCAGATTATATTAATCATAGATAAAAAGAGTTAACTTAAATTTACACAATGGAATAATGTATGATGGTTAGAATGTTTTATCCTGTTTCAGTATTGTTTTGTTTACATATGTGATTGCTGCATATTAATGGAATTGTGTTTCAAGTAGACTAAATGAACACTTTCCAAACAACAAACTGAGTGTAAATAAGTTTTTTAAATTGTTATTGTCATTTTACCATGGTATCCTGAAAGTAGTTTTTTTTCAGCAGCTAACATAAAATGTCAAGATAATATAATTAACTAGTATAAAGAAAGAAATTTTGGAACCAAGTTATTTGATGTAATGAATTTTTAGAGTAAAATAATTTTATTCAGTGATCCGCAGAGGGGCAGGTGGTCTTGATCTGGCTTCATTTTATGGCTGATTGGGGAAAGAATGTGGTTAAAGCCATTAAACAAAGTAATGTTATTTGAATTTGCTAGAAGATTTCTGCATAAATATATTTTGACAATAATAATACAGAAGTGCTAATGAAAGCAAGCTTGGTTTCCTCTCAGATCTTGTTAGAAATATTTCATATATACATCGCTAAACACCCTACCATCTGAAGGACAACAAGCGCCTTTTAGGACAATATTCCTGTATGATGCTCTTTGAGATCCATAACCTATTTAAAATGACAGTTACAGTGAAATACTTTGTTCCCATACTGCATAATATAAATTCAACCAATAAAATTGCACCTAATCAAGAAAGTTAATGACAGGTTGGACTACTTTGGTTTTATTTTTTCATGTTATACGTCAGAATCAAATAATTTTGGTTTTGCTTGTTCTTTTTGCCTATTTTTTTGACATGAGATAATTAAATTTCTATGAAACCGTGGCTTAGCTTATACTGGAAAAGGTTAGTGTGACTATCTATTATAATGAGGCGATGCCAGCAAGTCTTCCTTGTGAATACACGTCTTTTCTGAAATCGTTTATTTGCAATATAAATTGTATTCCTGGGATCATATTCCAAATGCAGTAAGGTGTTCTGGACTTTTCATTTTTTTTCCTTATAACTATATTTCCTTATAACTATATATAACTATAACTGCTTTCAGCAGCACACAAATTACTTCAGCAGAACTTGTTTCTGATGTAGACTTAACCAGTGTGTTGTCCAGACTCCAAGCACTTTCTGGTACAGTAAATTTGTGATTTATTAATGTTGCTTCCTGTCTGCAGCGTGGCCTATTTTGCAAATGAAATAGACTTCGATTAAGATTAAATGCTGTGTAAGTTTAGCTATACCTGCAATTTGGTGATTTTTAGGAGTCGTGTTGTTGCAATTTGTACTTGAATAGCCGTAATGTCAAACTAAAGCTATTTTTGTATACTGCTCTGCATACATTTACTTCTCTATGTGACGTTGCATTCTGGAATCCCTTGACATTAATTAATACTAATCTTTTGCAATTTTTTCATAACTACACCTGTCTTATCTACCATGAAAAGGATTGTGTTTTTCTCTCCCTAGTTGCTTTTGTAATTTTTAAAATAAGCTTTGTTTTAGAAATTCTTTTGTTAGAGTCCACATTAAAAGGTAATTAATAAATAATGTCACTTCTCTCTTAACAGCGCCTATCCAATGGCTCCATAGACTCAAATGATGAAGCCAGTCAAGTTGTTGAACTTCAGGAACTACTGGAAAAGCAAAACTATGAAATGGCACAAATGAAGGAGCGTCTGGCTGCACTGTCTTCCCGGGTGGGAGAGGTAGAGCAGGAAGCAGAGACCGCCAGAAAGGAGCTCATTAAAACAGAAGAAATGAACAGTAAATATCAGAGAGACATTAGAGAGGTAAGGAGTTCACCACACTCGCCTCCTATTTCTTGACTGCTGTTCCTGTGATACCCAATACAAACTGGTAGAGGCCAATGAATACAGAAAGCAAAAGTTGAACACTAATAAAGGCCACTGTACATAGGAAACACAAAATTTACATTAGGAAATAGTACTAGAAATCTCTCTATAAAACTGTGTTCGTAAAAGTGGATCTGTATATGTGCAACTGTAATAGGAGGAAGGCCAACTTATACCTATTATACAGTGTTGTAGCATTACTAGAGTGCATTCTGGCACGTTTTCAGCCATTTCAAGCTTTTAAGATTAATTCTGTTAAATAGAGATGCTGGTAATGTAGACAGTCTAAAATACATTTTTAAAACTCCTGGGCTGTTTTATAAAACAGTGTTATTTATATAATCAATTATATTATTTACTCATGTGTGGTAACTTCATTACTCCTGTTATAATATGCTATTCCCTTCTCTCAATAAACAGAAATACAATTCAGTTTTCCTTTTCTTTCCTCTTAAATTTGTGATGGTCCTTAGTACTCTCCAGAGTATCTTCTCGTATGTGGATGTTCTCAATATGTGTGAATGGTTGGCTTCTAGAATCTATTTTAGTACTTCGAAATTAGAGTAGTTATCTTTCTGTTACACTGCCTCTTACAATATAGGTATTTCATATGGATTTATGTATGTGTGTATATATATGCATATGTATGTATATATCTAACCTGTTATTTCTAGTATTCTGGAAGAAATGTTCCTTCAGAACTTCTGATGCCTGACACAGCCTCAAAGTGTCTTCACATCTTTGTACTCTGCCTCTTTTTAAGTATTGTATCATTTTTATCCGGTTACAAAAAATAGTTTGCACTGATATGTTTCTCCTTTTCCACCACTGCTATATTATATCACTAGGGGTCTCTAATATCTCCACTCTCATTCATCTTTTGACAAATACTGCTGTTTCATGGACACTTGATTGCCACTTGCTGTTTCTCCCTTAAATACCACATCACACCAGCTACAGGCTTACTTGTTTTCAGCCCTTTGCTTCCTAAGCAAAGTGGCCACTAATACATTTGCATGTAGAATAATTACAAATATCAGTGCAAAATCTGCTGTGAAAGGTATTTGTAAGGGTGGAAGTGCCTGTTTTCACTATTTCATATGGCCACAAAAGATAGTCTTCCCAATGCAGAAAATGAAATACCTGCAACAAGAAGGGTAGTTTAGTATTGTGTAACTTGGATAAATTATTGGATTTTTTTTCTGTGTGTTTTTAATGAATTACATACATAATTACTATTTTTATGGTTTTTTTTCCCAGCAATATACAAAAGGATCACCTGGATATGGTCCATTTTAGGACTAGCTATTTGGATCAATTTATATGTTCATTGTGTCTTACTTGAAAAATAATCTCACTTACTTCAAAACTGCTTTCATAACGTAATATAGCACAAACAGTAGGATATGCTCATCAGTAAATATTTTCATTGTGAAAGATTACGTGGCAACATGTAAGTCTTCTCAAGAGCCAGACACAAGTTTAAAACAAATAAAATTTTCTGCTTTCACTAAAGTTCGTTGAAGAGAAATAAACAGTGTAATAGACAGACTAATGAATAATCTATCTAAATTACAGCTATTGTCTTCAGTGAGGCCAGCTTGTAATACATGAATAAAAACAGCTCAAGATTTAAAGAAACCCTTATCCGCAACATATATGGATCACATACCCATATGTTATGGTTATGTTATGTATCCAACGTTGTGGTCACTTGTTTTCCTGAAATTTCAGGACAAGTCACCTGCTATTTGCTACATGTACTTCAGCAGAAAATTTTAGCAGGACCCCGGAATAAGAGTAGAAATGTGCATATACATTTTTTCCTCACATCACTGCATTATATTTCTCCTACTATGTAACTATAGCAGTTTTTCTATTTTCTAATCAAGCCTGCTGTTGTTTAAGAAGCAAACAAGTAAATGTGAGCTGCGTTTGCTGGTTTTTTGCACTGAAAAATATAGAAACTAGAAAAATATACAAAAGGTGAGGATTGTTTCTGTTTGCTCTACTCAACAGCTACCTCTTTAAATATCATGGTTACAAGAAATCCCAAAGGAAATTCTCTTTAAAACAGAAAAATTACTGCTGAGCATACCTTACATCCCTGTCTACTGTTAGCATGAAAATTAAACTGGTATGAAATTATGTAGCATTTTAATTGCATGGTTCTTGATGTTTTTTTCTGTCACGTTAGGCAATGGCACAAAAGGAAGATATGGAAGAAAGAATAACTACGCTGGAGAAGCGCTACCTCAGTGCACAGAGAGAATCCACCTCTATACATGACATGAATGATAAGCTGGAAAATGAACTGGCAAACAAGGAAGCCATCCTACGTCAGGTGCAGTATCTGAATTAGTCAGTTGATTTCTTCATACACAATGAAAATCAATGCAAAAAAGGGGGCAGATCTACAGTAGGAGTTTTCCATTGGGTTAATCTGTTCATTTTTAATCAACAGATCAGTTAAAAAAAAACACAAGTTGTTCAGCATCTCTAAGCTTATATCAGCTACTACAACCATGAATACCAAATCAATGTGTACATTCAACATTGTAGAATAACTGTGTTTTCTAATAGTGTCTTGCATAAATGCACATCATCATATCCCCTAAGTAAAGGATTATCTCTGCTTCTTATGTAACAATTTTCTGAATTTTATTTTTAAACAAAAAATAAAAAAAAAAAAAAGCAAACGAAATTCCCTTCTGCAGGAAAGACCAAAATTTGCATACAATTGATTATAATGATTTAATGTATTAGTATGTGTAGATAAAGTTTTACAAAGCTCAGTGATCCTTGAGTATCTTTTAGAAAAGAGTATAACACGATTGTGCATTTTCTTTCATGGAACTTTGTTTCCACGGTGATTCCGAAAGCTGAATAGTAAAGTGATCAGAAAAAAAAATGGTTTCTAACTTGAAGAATACAATGTGAACTGAAAGCTAACATGAAATGAATATAATTCAAACTGTAAAAGGTGAAATTGCTCCTCAGCCTCAGTATCAGACTTCTGTATTTTTTTCACCTATCATGTCTTCAAACAATATAAAATGCTATATGAGAAATAAGCCTGTATGATCTGATACTCTCTGCTTCTATGATTGTACACAGATATATTTGCACACACATGCACACATCCCTCTGTATGTGTGTATATATATGTACGTGACTACCTCTTCAAGGAAATTAAAGCATCAGAACTCAAACTCTCCAGCTTCTGCCAGCTTCCTTTGGCTATTTTAAGAGGTATCTTCAATTGTTAGAGGAAAAAAAAACACACCCAACAATGGAAAAGTAAGGTACCTGCATCTGTCCTTAGAGTTTTTATTGCTGCCAACGTAAGTCATCCTGTGCTGCAGAGGTCTACCTACTCAAAGCAGTGATCAACAGAAGTAGGCTTAGAATATATACAGGCAGACTTAAAGTTCCTTTGCAGCACTGCAATGTGAAAAGCCTACCTTTTCATGCTTTTGAAGGATTAAAAAAGAATCTAAAAGCACACTCCTTTTTCATTATGTCTTCTATACCTGGAATGAACAGGAAAGCAGGAAACACTTGTCAAGCCGTTAAAAAATTCTTAATCATGTGGTGCATCTCAGTAGACCAAAATACTGCAGTTATCAAAAGTCTTCCTGTTTCTCTTTAATGGTTATCACAGATAAAACAATTTCACTTCTGTAAAATGAGACTCAATTGTAGGTTCACAATGAACAATATCACTGTAACCTTAAGGAAATAGCAATATGATCATGAATGAATTAGCTGAGCAACAATTGTCAGTGTTAACATTTCCTAATATATGACTGGCCTTTGTTCAGAAAATTGCATTTGACAATTTGTTCGTAAACTTTGCTGGGAATTCTATCCTTTTGGAATTGTCTTTCTGTCCCATTTTAGCTCATACATAAACTTTTCTGTGAGATGGACTCAATATTTCCATTTAGAAAATTCTCATTTTATTGACACCAGTACTTTTATTTTGCTCAGATAAACAACGCATCGATCAGAGGATCTTTTTGCTCATCTTCATTAGTAGCATTTTACAACTCCTTTTCTTCACCTTCATATGATCCTTGAGCCTCAAATCACTCATCATTAGTGAGACCAGCAGCCTACATGGTTCCATGCTTGAGTTAATACCTTTCCAATAAACTCTTCCAAGTTGTGGAGTATCTATGCTTATGTAGTGAGTTTTGATCGCTTCCCCGATACCCAAGAAATTGAAGGAAAATCTTAATTCTGATTTTATTTTTTATACCTGTTTATCTTTGGCCTTCAGTTGGAAGACAAAAACAGACAGCTGCAAGAGCGTCTAGAGCTGGCTGAGCAGAAGCTGCAGCAGACGATGAGGAAGGCTGAAACTTTACCCGAAGTGGAGGCTGAGCTGGCTCAGAGAATTGCAGCTCTGACTAAGGTACTGCCCTGAGAAATAGGCTCACTTCAGAAGCCCCACTGTTTAACGTTGATTTGCATCCCGATTCCTCACCTCAAGGACAAAACAAAAGCAGTATCAAGCTGATTTGAAAGGAGAAAACGTTTCCTGATAAGTATGTGCCACAAGTTTAACCAGGAATGGTCTCAATGCTGTATTTGTAATTCCTAGCATTTTGGTAATAGGAAAAGTAGTTATCTGTAAGTTAGCCTAAGCTGTATTTACAAAGGAGTCTCATATTTCTAATACGTCAGTATTACTTATCCTAGGAGGATTCATTTTACTGTGAAAGAGTTTCTAATTTAAGGTGAGAGGGGCAGGGAGAGGTCCCATTCCTACACACTTAGTTCTTCTGGACATTTTCATACACCGTGTATATGAAACAAGAATTATTTCCATTCCAATAAGTGCTCTAAAATCAAATATTAATGGCAGCTGGGATCATTTGTACAACACAAATGAAGACAACTTGCAGTACATACTTACAAGGTTTGTTTTGAATGATTCTTTGTATCATATATTTGCAAAGACAAATGTGAAACCCTGTGAGGACTTCAGACTGGTTTTTCTGATAAATTTATTATATGGCAGCTTTCTTGCAGAAAAAATAAGAAGATGAAAATAAATTTTCAGTAGTGTGGTTTTCATATTTGGCCTCTAAGACTTTCAGGTGTGCATGTAGTTAATACTACAGCTCAGGTATTATCAGCTTCATAAAGACATATAATGATAATATGTTTATTCTTCATCTCTTTAAAATCAGACAAATAAAGAAAAATGCATTTAAGAGATTGTATTACATAGCATTCTGATTTATCTAAGCTTTCCTTTCTCTATTGCCAAGGAATGTTTCTAGCTATTTATGTGCCTAGCCATTTTTATATTTGATGGTTTTTTTTTCAGTTCTCATGTTTTTCCATTTATGGTGAAGCCTTAAGTGCTGAGCAGCTCACTAATGAAGTCCAATTTTTAAGAAATTTAGTTGAGAAGTAGAAAGAAAGAGAAGCTTTTGGGGGATGATTTTTTTTTTTTTTAATTTTATTAAGGCAAGATCGTTATTCAATAATCAAGATTTTGTGCTGTCCACTTTAGGTTTATGTGAATGGGTGGGAATTTGAAAGAGAGACTGAAAATGGTGGAAAAAAAGAAGAATCAGCAAAAAGAGAGCTACATGAAATACCAAACAAATATCATTGCATTTTAATAAAAACTCAGGTGCACATAAGAGGAATCCCTTGGCATTTTAACTTATTTTTTTCAGTTGTTTCTGATTCAACAAATAATTACATATTGTAATGCCCTCAGTAGCTTAAAAATATTGTTTTCTATTTTAAGAGGATTTTTCCTGAATAATTTCTCCAGCAATTAGGCACCAGTAAGTATTTTGCAGTCTCAAGCATGTCTTTTCTTGCAACTGCATTTTTCCTTGAACATATATTAATGACAAATATTTTAAGAAGAAATCCCATTTCAACCATGCAGAGCACTCAAAGACTTCCATGAGATACTGTTGTTATTGTGACCATAAAGCTGCAGTATACATCTCCGTTTGTCTTCTTACATTATTTCATGGGATGTGGTTAGAGAGCTGTGAACAGAGCTGATGCTCCATCCCATTTCACTTTGATGTACTTTATCAAAGTTTTTGCCAAGCAGGAAACTCTAAGAAGTATATTAGACAGTAATGCCGGTTCTGTTCATTTCTTCTGTGATATTACATGAAAAACTGAAGAAATTAATTTTATTTAAAATTATGTCTTTTTGGAATACATGACATGAAGAAGCATGTCAGAATTTGGCCAATAGGCCAAATAAGCCTATGTTTTATATATCTTGTATACAACATCTTTGCAAACTGTAGAGCTTATTCAAGTGCTGGTTTGACAGCTCTGAAGATTATAGTCCAGTATGGATCCCATAAATGTAGCTCGGAACCAAGGACAACGTTGTAGTCACTGCAGCTTAAGTAGTTTTAAATTAGCTAGCTGGTATACTGTTACTGCACTAGCTATTCAATGAAAGCTGCAAGACCTAACTAAGGGGCTGAATAACGTTTAATTAGTTTTGCCTTTGTTGAGCTTTGTGCCAGCATACGCATTGTCAGGAGGGCTCAAATTAGCTGGCTTCAGACTACCTTAAGTCTGCCTACCTGAGCTATGGTCACTGCAATGTCCATGTATGCTAAGTAAAAGATGAGCCCCCTGAATCAGCTAGTCTTTCTGCACTACAAAAAAAAGTCAAAACTGATTCTCCTTTCTTTTGTACTACCTCAATGAAAGTGACTTCTCTGAGATTAATGGGGTTACAATCATATGAAAGAGGTGAGTTAAGCCTAATATTTTACATGTTTTTTAAAGGAAAGTAGTATGGGATGACTGGAAACAATGACTGCTGCACTGTGGGTAAAATATAAGACCAATTGCTTACATGCGGAGATAAAACAGAACAAACATGTTCTGGATTTGGATGTGATTTCCACTCCCCAAGTTTAAAATATGCATGTTACAATTCTGCATTCAATTTATTATACTCTTCCTCATAATAAATCTGGGTTGGGATTCTGCAAAAGAAGGATGTAGAATGAGATCCTTCTATGGTGTCAGTTTTTAAAACGAGCTTTTTTCTTTTTTATATATATGGGCTAGTGAATGTCTTTTGCTACTTTTCCATGCCCAAACTAGTTCATAAGGAGTGAAATTCCAAAAGTTTGGACTGTACAGTGAACTCAGATAAGTACCCGTAAATTTACCTGAATCATTTGAACTTTTCTTTGGCTTTGTTTTCACTGTGTTCTGCCCATTGGGTGAGCAACTGGAGGGTTAGTCAGCCTGTGGTAGACTAACCTGGAACAGCATGATCCCATGTACTGTGCTGTCCTGCCTGGCCGTTGCACTGGTATCTGTCTGGTAATGACAAGTAGCACAGGTCTCGGCATGTATCCCAAGATTTAGATTGCCATGACTCATTGAGCCACCTTTCACTCTCACAGTATTGGTCTGTTTGCCTGCCCTGGAGAAGAGGCAGTTGGTAGTAGAAAGAATCTCCCTCTAATATTAACTAAACCTTTCTTTATCCTGTAAGATGTTTGTTTTCCTCAGAAGAGGCAGACATTGGAGCATCTAGAATCTTCAGATGGTTAGTCTGTCAAACACGGTTTCTCCTTGCATGTATTCAAGGAGGGGTCTCGTGGAGACAACCAGCATCCACCTACTTCCATTCACTCACTCCCACTAGTAGTCACTCTCCCCTCGGGTGCTTGTGCAACAGAAGTACCATGTCACTTCTCTGGTCACAAGACAGCAGTCAGCATTTTAGTCCATCATTCCTGTATGCAGGTCACCAGAAATACCAACAGTGCTTTTTAGCTGCATTAGAGAAGCACTGACATGGAGAATAGGAAACCATAATCATAATAAACCACATTTAGCATAGTAACACATTCAGCTTATTTTAAAGGTGATAAAAAAATACTTGAAAGTTGAAGGCAAGTGGGACACAATGCTTGTTTTGTGACAATGTGAAGATCTGCTTTGCATTAAGTAGGGAAGACGTTGCAAGAAAGTGCAAGGAGAAGGTCTGCAGTGGAAAGGATGCAAAGAGGGGAAAGAGGTTCTCCTGCAAGAACTGGATGTGGTTAAGACAGAAACGTCTCTGAGAACAAGGGAGAGAGAGAAGATGATGTGTTAGCTGGAAGAGAAAGTTGATAAATCTGCGGGGGAAAAAAAGAGAAAATCTGCTATGGAGATGGAAGCCTAAGAAAATTCCACATTTACAACATATTTACTGTCTTCTCAAACCACCCCTCTTCTTGTGCTTCCCTTTCCACAGAAGATTTTGTCCTGATAGGAGGAAGAAATGAAAGAAGCGCGTTTGACAGAGCTAAATGGAAGGAGTTGCTTACTAAACCTATGAGGTGTAGAAGGTAGTGGGGGAATGAAGGAGGGGCAAGAATGTGTGGATATCTAGTGACTGAAATGTTGAGTTTCAGAAAAAGGGGTCACTTAAGCCAACGCGTTTTGTCACATTTGTAAGGGGTTAGAAGTGAGCATGTGAACAAGCAGCTGATAACTTTGTGAGCTGTTGTGACTCAGTCACCATGATTACCTATTTTCACCTTCAATTGCATAGCTCAATTCAATAATGCATTCTTTCTTCTTGAATAACTCACTCATTCAAAGGATAGCCAGGAGCATGTGTGCCATAAGAAGCCAGTAGAAAATCTGGGGACAGCAGGTGTTCAAAAGTCAAGGTCTCAAAACTGGAAATTGGCTTGTACCATTAGAAAAGTTTAGATTTGTTTCTGTAGCTCAGCATGAGGAAGAAAAATTATAGCACCTGTACCGTACAGGTGCTTTCTGCATCTGAAATTGGATTTTCTTTTTTTCAACTAAGATGCAAAGACCTAGAAAATGTGCAGTGTCAACAGTAACAGATGATGTGAAAGCAACATTTTTTTTGTGGGCGCATTAGCAGCAGGAGCAGCAGCAGAGTTTTAACAGGGTTAGAGAGCAATAATACAAGCTGCTTCGGTATTCCCGCAAAGCAAAATTTTCCTGTCTATTACTGGCTTATACTGGCTATTTCTTTGCTATTTCATAGCATATAGAGTACAAAGTGAGCATTAAGACTCATGCTGGTATCTCATAGGGGTCAGACATTGTTAGTTTTTGTCCGTATATTTTTAATCCAGTCTAAGACACACAATTTCACAAATCTATTTATAACTGAATGTGCTGGCTAGATGCTTTAAATACTAGAAGCTGAATAGCGCACCACGTGTCTTAATAATCCTCCTGTACAGAGTACTAGTGAACAGGCACGCAAGTCATATATTAAAAAGAAGAATGTAGGGTAAGGTCTGCCAAGCGAGTAGTCTCACAAGTTGCACTTTAGAAAGTTTTTAACTCAATTAACTCTTAGCAAAGCAAGTCGGAAAAAATCCAACTTCTGTTTATGAACCTCAGTCCCCAGTTGTCCCTCTGTCTCATGTGTATCTGAAATTCTGTTACGGGAAATGACTAGTGCTGGTGTCTCGGCCTCTGCCGCATGCCTCAAACCACAAGGCGGAGACTGAGACATTCAATATTCTTATGGTAGGCTCCCAAGTCTTCCAAAGAGCCTGTTCCAGTGGGAATGTCTGGGGCTGACTAACACACATGGACAGCAAAAAAGTGTAGCCGCCACAGGCATGTCAATCCTAACAATATGGCCTGGGAAGTCTGTGCAGGAGGCATTTGCAAATCCCTTAGGGAACAGCTGAATTGCTAGGTCTTTTTGTCTGGAAGGGTCTCTTTGAGACCCAAGTTGGGGCCTTCCTCAGCATAAAGGGCAATGAGAGGTGTTGAAACCCTCGTTTTGGGAGTGTGTTCCAGCTAGGCACACCAGGAGATGGAGGGGCTGCTCTTTCCTACTGCAGGTCTTTGTCTACAGGTGGGTTTCTGCAAGTGAGAAAAAGGGAGCATGTTCGTGTGTTTCTGTCTCCCTAGCCCTTACAGAGGACACCCTTTTGATTCATGTCCCTGCTGCAGGGACTGCTCATGCATTTGGCACGTAGGAACCAGTGGCTAAAATCCCTAAATAACATTAGAGCCCGGGTAGGTACTAAGGCTGCGCACCTGTGCTTGTCCTCTGCCAGACAAGCAGTTGAGCCTAATTGTTTAATGTCTCAGCTATAAAATAATTTGGTTCTTTTACAGTGATACAGACAAACACTTTAGGAACAAACAAATGAAATGCACATAGATAAAGGAAAAAAAATATTCAAATACATTTTAAGTGTTTAGAATAATGACATTTATTTTGATTCTGAGGAATAGTGAATTTTAATTAATTTTAAAATCTCTTTATCCTACCAAAGAGATGTAAAGGGAGGTGAATGTGGAGATCAGGTCTGTTTTCTTTTATGCTGGAAAACGAAGTACAGGTACTCTGAGCCACATTCAGGAAAATTTTTTAACAAAGATGTACCTATCAACATTTTAATATTCTTAGTGAAATAACTGAAAACTATCATGCAAAAAGATTTATATATATCTTAAACATATACCTTACTGAATTAATAAAGCAGTAGGATGTTATGAAACAACAGAATTAGATAGCTATAAGAATCTTAAGAGAATATCATGTTCTTTCAAGAATGTTGTCTATATAAGAATTCAGATAACATACGTAATTCTGACAATAATTTTATTCCTCCTCCTCTTCCAAATAATAGTTAGGCCTAATACCGCAATTATTTTATGCATTGAAAAGACTGTTTCCTGCTAAGGAATGAGGTATAGCATGGTTTGGACTGAAAATCTACTTTTTAGTTTGAAAAATAAGTGCAAATGATATAGCTAGCTAGACTGGCTTCTCAAGGACAGGTTATGACCGACAGCACCACATATCAGAAGGCTTAAATGAGATCCCCTTTGAACCTAGAAGTATTAGTTTGGTTATCTTCATATTTTGCATTAACCTGCAATTAAGTGTATAGAAGCAATGAAGATCTAAGTAACTTGTTTTTAAAGTTTGCAGTCAGCTAATGAAGCTTCTAAGTAGTTTAATTTTGTAGGATGATACCCCCAATGGGTTCTACATCTTCCTCAATTAAAATGGTTTCAAAAGAGGTAGAATTACTTAAGCCTTCTCCATCATCAGCTCAGAGCTTTGATGATTTCAAATCTTCTCCTGACCCTTGGAGACACATTAAGGGAAGGCCTTGAACCAATAGTGCAGCCAGGACTCAAAAAGGGGAAAAGTCTATCTTCTACAGAGGAGGATAAAGCTTGGTCACTTTGTGGAAGGGAGAGCACGATCTGGTTTTCTGCAATCACAGGGTTTTTCAACCCTGTCTTTCTCTTTATCCGGTTGGGAGAGGAAGTGGTGCAATAGCATTCGTATGCTGAAACAGACTAATATGTAAAACTAAAAGATAAAGAAAAACATAAAGGGATTGTCACTCGTCCACGTCATAATAAATAGACAAAATAGCTTCAGATAATGAATAAGTTCAAATACATCACAATACACCTGCTTCATGATGAGAAACGATAAATGCACTTATTAAATGAGCTTAGTTACAAAGTATACTAACTTTCCCCTAAATTTTGCAAGAATCTTACTCTGAAAAGAATAGTAGTGATCTTCAAAGTTAAGCATTATTCTTGTATTTATACAAAGCAGGATTTTCTCATATGCATGCATTCATATCAAAAGCTACAGTTTATATTTATAAATTTCTAGATCACAGGCTTGTTTTCTGTCTGATCTTTTGGTCCTGATAATACTACTGAATTTAAGTTATGGGTAATTTTAAGTTATGATGTACATCTGGAATTACTTTGGTATCTATTCCTAATTATTCTGATACATCATTAGTAGACAACAGTATGAAAAACAGTCTCACTAAGAAATACAGTTATAAAATTAGTATTTTTTGTACATATTAAAGTTTGCTCATCTAAAGATGGAGTCCTCTTTTTGAGAGAGGGTGAATCTGACAGAGTGAAATAGCATTTGACAAGCGCGAGCTCACAACTCAAAGTCATCAGTAGCACTGTCTATACGCCTTATGCACATTCCTGTTTCCATAGCAACAAATCCAATATAGCATTTCCCTTTCTTTAAGGGCTTTTTTTTCATTTTGAATGATAACATAGGCTTGTTTGATATGACAATAACATGAATATTCATGTTTTGCAACAAATGACCTAATTAAGGTCAACTTCTGTCAGAACTAGTAATTAATCTTTGGATGGATTACCATTTCTATACTCAGTAATGACTTTTCATTCTTGTTAATGAATTTTTATTTATAGGTTCTTCTTTTATCTGATGACCTTGATCTTCCAAAGAGATCCACCAGGGTGGATCCTTTCAAAGGGATGAAAACTATATTGTTTATTTGGATGAAAAGGCTTATGTAGTGTATTCTAAAATGGAATACTAAAGCTTGAGCCTTGTCGCTTTTGACATTCTTTCTGTTTTCTAGAAACTAGGGAATGTACCATAACATTGCACAGCTCTATAACTGACCGATCCATTAATTTAGTATTTATGCATTGTTTTCATTCCTAAAAATGATAGAAGAATTATAAAGGACTTTCTGACATTGGCCTCACAGAGTCCTGTTCTGGTGTTTAGTTTGCCATAATTCAAAAAAAACCCCATTAGATTAAACAGTATTGCTTTGAATCCACTCTGTAGTAATATGTCATCAGCCAGCCATCACTAACCTTGAACTTCCATGTGTAGGTTGATAGCTTTTTTAGCATTCCATTATTTTCAGTTTCTCCACATCAACTGCATCATATTCACCGAGTATCAGTGTAGTTTATTCCACGTAAAAATCTGTCAGTTAAAAGTATTAAATTTTCAGTCACACTTTTCTTTTAAGCATTCTGTGCTGTGTTCTGTTCAGTGTCAGTGTCTTTAGTTCTGATTTTTCAATTTTGTCCCTCTCCTTTTCCTTGACTTGTTAGTCTGATCCAACCTCTTCTACCTCATCTGATGATTATCAATATGTTATGGAAGCTAAACTACAAGAAATGATCTCCATACGTAGGAAGGTAGTCCTACTGGACTTTACTTTCTATTGCTAAATAGAATCCATCCGATTTGTTTTCATTTTCTTTAACTTTTTTTTTTTTTTTATTGATAATCAACCATCGTGCAGTTCAGTGCTTCAGGAGCTTACAATTTTACGATGGCAGGTTTGTGTTCAAACCATGCACAGTCTGCATGTTACATTTGGCTGATTTCATTGCTCATAAATAACTCCAATGTTTTGCTGATGCTTGGATGTAACAGGCCTTTGTAGCTGACACATTTCAAGCAATGCTGTTCAGCTGCCTGTTTAAATAAAGTTTCTTTTTGGAAAACTAAGTTTGCAGTTAGTAGTAGCTTGCTTTATGTTTTGTTTAAACCTTACTGAGATAAAAACTTATGAAGCCACTTAAATTACAAAAAGAGTCTTTCTATTTTTTTACAGGCAGAAGAAAGACATGGAAACATTGAGGAACGTATGAGACATTTAGAAGCTCAACTTGAAGAGAAGAATCAGGAACTTCAAAGAGTATGTGTATTGCAGACAACTTCTGTGCACTTTTCTTCTTTTGATTTGCCAATATAGCACTACATTATGCACTCCAGCACACAAATCTGTCTATTGGTAAATCTTTTATTTATAGCAGTGATGGCAGCATCTTCCCACTTAACCATCTTAATATACTAGTTTACATGTAGTTGCAGCTTTCAAAGTATTCTGCTGATACAAAAATGATTGTGCATTAATCAATAACTGTAATTACGTTTCTTGTGGGATTTCTTTTAATGGGTACAGTTACCATAAATTTTTTTATTTTTTAATGATACAAGTCTGTACTGGTTAATTCTGGACCCTACCAATCTGTCTCTTCTATTCTACATTAAAGGCAAGGCAAAGAGAAAAAATGAATGAAGAGCACAACAAAAGATTATCGGATACCGTAGACAGACTTTTGACAGAATCCAATGAGCGTCTGCAGCTACACTTAAAAGAGAGAATGGCAGCACTTGAAGAAAAGGTACAGTGTAAAGAGCAGTATAAAGTTCAGCTTGATAAAGATTCTCCTATATGAAACCTGTTCTACTTTTATCGGGGTGGAAGCATCATGCTGATTTTGTATTACCAAATATTACCACAAATATGGTCTAACTCATACATTCAACTCTTAATTCAAGAGTGCGCTCAAGAATCTTTCCAGGACTCCTGTGAACTGCATATGTGAATATTGTGAGTCCCTGTTTTATCAACGGGAATTCTGATGAAGAGCTTGTAAAGGGCCAGTGCACGACACCGTATGAGGCAGTGAGAGAAAGTGGACGAGAACTGAGGAATGGCCGTGTTTCAGATGTGCTGTCATTGCCGTATTTTAGCCTGCTGATTTCACCTCACTTCCTCTGGGAAGAGTAAAATGCTGTCACCGCAGGAAAAGGAGCATCTACCTTTGGAGAGGGAATGTTATTTGCAGGTTTTCCATGATGTGAGACACAACGGGTCTGCAAAGTTCAAATCCCATGATCTTTATATTCACCCTCCTTAATCCCTCCCTCTTCTACTTATTTACCTTCAGTTTGATCTGAGGGGAATCTTTCAGGGTCTTTCAGAAGGGTATTTCAGAACCTGTCCGAGGATGTACTTCTGGTTTATATCATTGAAACAAAATGTCGTACAAAGCAAGAAATAGGCCTACCAAAAGAAGAACCTGGGAGAAATAGTTGTGTAAGAGTGTGACAGTGGCTCAGTTCAAGGAAAATGCAAAGTACTTTGCTGTTCCTGGTAGAACATGGTCCTACATGTCTGGATTATTATTTCCAGTGTTTTAAATTTAATATATACTCAAATTGAAGCATTTAGGGATTTTAATTTTAAAGTCCAGTAGAACGTGAACTTTGCTAACTTGTACATGAAAGCTACATGTATATGGTGATAGGTGGATATTTAACATTTCTCTAATTTCTTTCTGTTTTATTTTTCTTTTTTTCTTTTAATTCCTAGAATGTTTTGATTCAAGAATCTGAAAGTTTCAGGAAAAATCTGGAAGAGTCTTTACATGACAAGGTACTATAAAATACAGCAATTTTGTCTGTTTTTATTAAAAGTTATATATTTATTATTTGGAAATATGTATATGGTGTATTAATTATCCAACTAGCATGCAAAATATTCCTGGCATCAATGATAATTCCTTTAATCACCCAGATGTCTTAACTTAATTGTCTCTAACAATTGTTCTGAGCTAAGTTTATGGTTAAGATTCTAGCCTCAGGAAGGCAATACTAAAGTTCATATTGATTTCACTGGCTTTAGAATTTTTGTTCGATTAGTTTGAATTCCGAAAAACTCTTGTTTAACAGAGATGTATGCATAACTGGTTACACTTTCATAGTGAAGAATAATGGCTTGCTTTCATGCAATTCTTCTTAAAAGGTGCAGTGGCGTTATGCTAAATATAACTGAAAGTTGCCTTTCTTAGTTCATTGCAAATTAACCTCTAATACAGTTTAGTGAATCAGTCAAATTAATTATAAATATTTATTCCAATGCCAAATGTTACGATTTTGTTTTGAAGTTATGCTTGCCTTGAGCACAGCAGGATACACAAATGTATCTGCCTTCAGATTCACAGAAATGTTTTTGTAATGTATCAAATCCATTTAAAAGAGATTGTATAGAATTTTAAAAATATAGCTCCACTCGATACTAATATAATTATATCATACAACATCCAAAATCCAGAACTTTGAAAAAAATAACAAAAGAAGTATCTGTTCAAATAAATCGTTATTTTCATCTACATTCGGATAGCCTTGTAGAAAGGCAGAGGAATTAAAGCCCCAAAAAGGAGCTTGTAGTGCATTTTAAATAACTAAAATTTCCCTGCTGTACTACCACAGTTATAAGGTGATTCAGCTTTTGCAAAATCAGGATCATACTTCACCGTATAGTTAGATGACAAAAAAGGATAGAAAGGACATTTCTAAAACTGTGTCAATTGATACAAAAGTTTCTATCATTTTGCTACCAGAGCATCCAAACCTGAATTATGGATACCAATTTTGTCTGTGTAAATAAGGTGTTTTGCCAATGTTATCTCCAACATAACTTTATTGTTTTAACAGTGTTATAGTGGAAGTGAATACAGTGGCTAATTCTTTTTCAGTTCAGTCTGTTTTCTGGCTTGAATGTTCATATCAACTCTTGACAAAGATGAAAAATCTGGTATAAAAATCTACATTTGTATTGAAAGTATTTTTGCAAAGATATTTTTATTTATTCTATTTATTGTTTCTTGCTTAAGGATGGGAAGTGAAATAAATAGAACCTCCACTGCCGCTCTGTGCAATTGATGGAGATGAGTTCTTTTCACACACAACCATATAGGTCTGACTCCAGAGCTTCTAAGTTCCCACTTTGAAGGGTTTATTTGTTCCGCTTTGATGAAGAAACTGATGAAGCAATTTCAGATGCATGGACATAACACCAGATATTAATAATCCCTAAATAACTAGCAAATGATACAAGTAGAGTAACCACCAAGTCCTCTCATTTATTCAGCCAAGGAATAGTGTAAAAATACTGTAATAAGAATTACTGAATCTGATAGTAATTAAGCGCAGATCCCTTTCCTTCCTAGCATTTTGGAATCCTGAACATTTTAAACTCTAGGAACAGCAGCATTATTCTTCATCCCATGTTCTTTCTTAATTTGTTTTAAAATTCTTTGATTTCTTTTCATTTTATTAGTAGACTATTGTTATTTGTAGAATCTGGGAACAGCTCTTTTCTTCCTGGTGGTTGCTGTCAATAGTATTTTTGTTAGTTGGTTCCAAAAATGCAACTTTTGTGGCACTCTGTCATTTTTCACCAGTAGCACCTCATACTGGAGTTCCATCAATTCCCAAGAGCGAGCTGTAAAGCTGCAGTTCAATAAAGCACCTAAAATGTGATTGTCTCTAAGACATAACACAATCTTTGTCTCTAAAGGGCAAATAGCATGTCACACGCTGAACTATGCCTGGCTCGGAGTGTGCAGTTAGTGCACAAATCAGTGCTGGTTCTTTTCCTGACCCTAGCTGTTTAAGAAGAAAAAAGTAAGTTTCAAGTACAAACCTGTCCTGCCATCACTTCCAGCTAGTGGAAAACCACTGAAGAGTGCTATACAACCTCCTCTTGATGTATGTCTTATTAGCAATAATGAGACTTGAATGAGTTCACTGCCTTTTCATATTGTAGTCAGTGCTACATTCAGTTTATCTTACTTGTTTAGCTCTACAAGAGCAATATCTTATAAAGTAAATGTATTTTGTATCACAAGTAAGTATGTCTTACTATTCTCATTTCCAGGAAAGACTTGCCGAAGAAATTGAGAAACTGAGATCTGAACTGGATCAAATGAAATTGAGGGCTGGTTCTTTAATCGAACCCACATTGTCAAGGTAATATTTAATGACAAAAGTTTCCTCACTTTGAGTTGAAATAGAACATAAATATAAGTGTCAAGCCTTTACAACAGGGATGTGTTCAGACCACGCATAAAAATATCATGTGTTTCTTTAAAAATGTAAAATCCGTGCAATGATTATTACTGTTGCTTTTCACTTTTTTCATAGGTAAACGGGGCCTTATAGCAGTGAGTATACACTGAAATATTACTGAGATTAAGAAAAGTCTTTTAAATTATGGAATGTTTTCAAAAGTATATCCAAATATCTATTTTTTCCCAGGAGAGCTTAATAATAAAGTTGAAACCATCATCTTTAATGCTGAAACTAATCAGCATATTTATGATCATATTTATTTATTTATTCTATCAAGTACGTCTAATAATTTTGTTTTTATTAGCAAGAAATAACTCAGCTTTGCTTAGTGTGTAAGATAAGACCACAGATCTTCAGCTAAAGATGAAGGCAGTCTTCAGAGAGATCTGAAAATATCATAACAGGACATTAAACGTTTTGCCTCTTTGTGGCAGAAAAGCAATATGGGAACGATAGTGAGACAGGTATCATAGAAGTAGCTACCAACAGCTGAAATGAATTTATAATTCTAGACAGACAGTCCTTCTCGCCTGAAAGTATCCCTCAAAATAAAATTGTTACTTTATTGATAATTGTGTGCCATGTCCTGTTTTCATAACAAGCAACATGTTAACTTTTAAAACCTGCCAGCCAAAGCTCATGGACCAAGACTAAATTCAGAGCACTGTAACCCTCTAAAGTTATTCTTGTTGGATAATTTTTTTTGCTTGCATCAGGTATTCTCTGCCCATTGTTTCCTCAGACATCTTGCTCAGTACCTGGACATGGTTTCTCCCTTGACCTTTTATTATGTCTTGGGATATTATTTTTCTATACACGGAGAAGTGTAAATTGCTGAAATTCAGAATGTGATGCTTGTAACTGTTCAAATTTTTATTCCTTTGGGAGTGTAAGTGTGACTACAGGCGCACACAACACTGTTTTTTGAGAGTGCTTGCAAGGACACAGACTATTGAACTGCTGCAACAAACAGCAGAGATGTTTTTGGAGCAGCCATCCTTGGTGAACAGCAGCCTTTCTTGCTGGGTAGATGAGTATCATTAGCTTGTGCTCTGTAAATAGGAGTCTGATTAGCCCTTGTCAAAGGGCTGTTTGAACTTGATAAGCTGCCTAAATGTCTTGGGAATTCAGCAGGTTCCCCCAAAACAGTGTATCTCCCCTTCCATTTCCTCACCTCACGAAGCTACCAGCCCTCTCAAGAATAGGGAGGTATCAGCATTAAATACTTACTGTTCTAAGCACGTACTCAGTTCTGTGTTTGCAGGAGTTTGTCCTTTCAGCAGAAGAACAATGAAGCTGGTCAGCAGACAGGTATTTGCTGCCAGAGACTGGAACCTGGGCTGTTTCTTTTTTCCTGCCAACTTGCTGCACAAGTACAAAGTATTATCAATTATCAAAACAAAGTTCTATTACAGCAAATGTGGCACAAACACAGAAAATAAAAGACAGTCACTGCCCTAAATGGTTTACTATATAACGGATGAGAGACATACAGACAAATTAAACATACAAAAACCCAAAAGATTATTGTCTGGTGCTGTAGATGGAGGACTTAGGACATTTGTAGCCCAACTGTTGTATGATGAAAAAAGTGAGTTTTAGAGAATTTTTTAAAAGGTAAAATCATAATTTTTCTAATATTATGGAGGTTCCTACTGGGCATGATGTGAAGCGTAAGAGAAGATAAACTGATGGTTGTTCAGAAAAGGACATTGATAACAACAGTATGAGCTCTGATGGATGCTTTACCCAAAACCTAAATTCTAAAACATTATTCAGTATCTGTGACATTTTTATGTATCTGATTCGATTATTATGGCACATACTCACATTTCAGGAATTCTGGTACCTCCTTTTTTTGTTTTCTTACAGTATTTATTTTTTATAAAACAAACTGTATTAGTGCTTGAAATCCCTCCATTATTATTTTAGATTTGTCACAGTACTTATAATAGCAGACAGTAATTACGTTTCTTCATACCACTCTGTCAAAGTAGCTTGTAATAGAGGCTTTCATGTTTATCAAGATGTTTTTGCATTTCCCATTTATCAATATACAGGCATCACAGTTATAATATTTTATCTTTCACTTTTACTTTACTAAAGTGATGTTTGAAATTTGAGACCAATGCTTCAGTCTTCCAAGTATGAGTATGTTTTAATTCAAATTAAGTTCTTCTCAAGGAAAAGTGAATCTCCATGTTGAGAAAAAGACACAAAACTAGAGCTCAGGAAAACAGTCACGCTTGCAGCCTGCAGTTTTCAGCATAGATATATATGGGTTTCTGAATTATTTCCTTCATTTTGGAAAGCAGACATTGTCCTATTTAGCTTTTTTATGTCTAGGATTAAAGCCATCATTTTCTTAAATAGCATTCTTTTCAAAGTGAGAGAAGTGTTTAAGAACAAAACTTATTCCCATTCTGTTTCCCATAACTGATTATTAACATTGCTGTGAACCCTGTAAGTTGTCTGCAGGTGACTGTAAGCATTTCTCCCAAGTTTTTTTAAAAAAAAAAGTAAGTACAACATTAAACTCTCATTTTATGCTCTTATAGATAGTGAAATGTCAAACATTTTTTAGGAGTCACTATAAAAAAATACACATTTAGTTGTCTTATTAGTGTAGTATTTGCTACATTTCATTTTTCTGCTATAATCATGCTATTCATGTATTTTTATGTGGAGATTGCTTAGGTGTTAAGAAATAGAAATTGTTCAGGTCTCCACTGCTGTGGCTGAATGGTGCATGGAGCCTTTGCTCTTCTGACTCAGCCACACAGCTCATGGGCAGGATGTTTCTGTTGCATCATGCAGGGAACTTTTACTGCTGCTGTTTGACCAAAGGCCAGGGAACATTGTATGCAGCCAAGAAAAGATATGCTGAAGTCATCATGTGTATGCCTTTCCACAATGTCCCAAGACTTACCAGGACTACGGGAAAAATTGGGGGTTAAAACTCTCAAAAGCATCATCAAACATGAATCATTCATAACCAATGTTATATATCGCAGGGCAGTTCACTAATATTTTCATAATGCGGAGCTCAGATTTACAGTAGGAAAGTGTTATAGATATTCTCACTCGTGAACATGTTAACATGCTTACAGTAACCTCAGGCATACTTATTCACGAAAGTAATGGAAGGAAAATATACAGGATAGTACATTCAGCAGCCAGTTCTGTTAATTATCTTGTCCTGAAATCTGCTTGTTTTGTCATATTATAATTTTGGACAATGAGTTTTACTATGCAAGTCCTTCCTTTTGAAAAATCAAAGGTTTTATTCATTTGTTTTCTTCCTTAATTTTCTCATAATATGATTTCAAGTTTTCACTTTTAAATGACATTTTGTGCCCTTTGTCATTTATTCTGATACATAATAATTTGTTGTTTAAAAAAATATATCTGTGTTCCTAGACTGAAGGTCATTGAGTTGTTGCTGTTATTATTAATATTACTCTCTAAGTGTACTTCTGTGGCTCTTTTTATAGGCCTCACCTTGACACATCAGCAGAGCTGAGGTATTCTGTGGGCTCACTGGTTGATAGCCAGTCTGACTATCGGTCAACTAAAGTGATAAGGCGACCTAGAAGAGGCCGGATGGGCGTACGGAGAGATGAACCAAAGGTTAATCCCCAATTTCTTCTCGTATATTACCTGATAAGAGAATGTATTTCAGGCTCTTGAGCTTACAGTTTGTGTATTTCTAGAAAAAAAACCCAACAACAACAAAAAACCCCAACAAGACACCAAAAAAAAACCCAAACAAAAAACCCAAATAGCAGAGTTTTTTTCTTTGTCTACTCAGATGAGAGTACTGTTGTACGAAAACGAAGGCAGAAAAGGTTGAAGTTCCGACATCAAAGTTCAAGTATACTTGACTGTCTGTCTTTTCTGGGTATATTTTTGTGTAAATTTTCCTGATAGTTAATTTTACACAGCATTAGAAATTATGTGAAAATACTTTACATCATCATAGTAATATTACAAGTATTAATGGTGAATTAATCATTGAGTAAGTATTCTTAAATGTTAGTTGCTTTCCTTTCCCATTTTATAGAAGTTCAACTTTGCAGTTGTTTTCCATGGAATAAGCCATGTACATCCTAATTCCTGCTCAGGTAAAATCACTTGGAGATCACGAGTGGAATAGGACTCAGCAGATTGGCGTTTTGAGCAGCCATCCATTTGAAAGTGACACTGAAATGTCCGACATCGATGATGATGATAGAGAAACCCTTTTCAGCTCCATGGACCTTCTGTCACCAAGCGGCCATTCCGATGCCCAGACTCTGGCCATGATGCTTCAGGAGCAGCTAGATGCAATCAATAAAGAAATCAGGTATGTAGCCTGAACCAGCTGTGATGCATTTATGACTACAGCTTCAAGCTTCCCTTAGTGCATGAGTTCAGGTACCGTTCATAACCATTAGGAAACCACTTGTACATTTAAAGGATTGATAATGTGTCCGCTTTTTGTAAGAGAGTATTGATTGCATGAAGATAACAATGGCATCTTCATTTCCTAGCCATAGAAATTTCTTTCAAAAAAATGTTCCAAGTGAAGAACTGCTGGCCAATTGAATAGAAATACGTTAGAGAAGGCTAACACAGGGTAAATTTGGCAGATCGCTATTCATAGTCCTCTTTTCAAGGTCTTTTTCACTGTTCTGCATGACTCCTCTTACTCATTGATGACCATCTATCAGAAATGTTTTATTTCAGTGCTCTTCATGCTTTCTTCTGATAATTATTCCTATGTTACATCTCATATAAGCCACATTTTCTAAGACATGGTTTTGATATTCTGTGGAGGCATAGAATGTGATTTTTCATGCTCCAAGTTGGGTTATAGAGCTTGGAAACAGGTGGTGAATTTAATGTATCTTAATAATTTCTGTGCAAATTTAATGGAGTGATAGAGAAACCAATGACGTATTTTACTTAAAAAATATATGGTTTTCTAAGCGAAACCATGTTTTAGGCTTAAAGCATTCTTACATGTTTTTCAGGAAGGGTAACTTTCAAAAACTTGGTGTATGAAAAACATCCTCTCATTAGTGACTGTTTCTCTAAAAAGAAATGAAGGAGATTACTAAATGTATTAGTGAATTTCTGGTAATACTATAGAAAGCAAGACTGTGGTTAGAAATACAGTCAAAACCAGATTACCTTTTGCCAAATCTCAAGCCATTCTTTGAGCAAAGTAACTTTAAAGGGAGAACTCTACTGGAATATATTGAATTTGAATAACTTCTCTGTTCCCAGGGGAGACTTTTTGTTATCAATCTACAGCTTTGCATTTTCATTACTCCCAGAATTTCTTCATTCAGATAGGATTACTCTGCTATTTTCTAAAATCTCTTATTACAGCTGTCAAGATAGAGAGTCAAAGGGAAATTTTGTTGTTGGGAGGGTAAATCTCCTTAAAACATTGTATGTAAAAGAGAGAAACTTATCCTTATTTTCTGTTATTACAAAGAAGTCAGCACTGTGATCAATTGAGGAAGCTGTAGATGCCACAAATGTATTTGTTTTAAAAAATACTAGCATTTTGACAATTTAACAAGTAATTATGTAATACAGTAAAAGGTTTTCACAAGAAATTGTACCTGCAGGTGACATAGCGGGATATTATTTGTGCCATCCTGAATCAGATCACTGTTTTACTTAACACAGAATCTTGACTTAGATGCTAGGTACAGTTTTATCGCAAAAAGAAAGCAAGGGTGCACACTGTATGTAGCCATTTTTACAGGAGGTCCACTGAGAGTAGTTTATTTCCCCTACTGCTAAGCTTATACTGAAGTATAGGCTTTCATTACCATCGCCGTCATTATTAAAGAACCAGGTAACTAATTTTATATTCTTTTTTTCATATGTTTCAGGAAAAATGGTTCTACAAGGATGGTCTTATAAACTGTACTGCATTTCACATTTTCTTGGTTTGTTTTTTTTTTTCTTTTTCTTGAAAAACACTATAAGGGTTTGTCAAATGATTGGAAATATCAAAAGAGATTAAAAATGGATTTTGCCTTAGATCTGTTTTGTTATACAAGATGATTCAGAGTTTAGATTACTAAAATGAAGAAGATTGTTATATTTCCCTTTCAAAATATTATTTGCCTTTAAGTTCCTGCCGTGCCCCATTTCAGAAAGAACTGTAGACATTTTATAGAAATTTTGAAATGGATGTTAAGGAAGAAGATTTATTACAGCACAGGAATTTGTAGGTTTCTATTTTCAATGTATTATGTTTTTATTTCTTGTACTAGCTTCATTTCACTCAGAAAAGCCTGGTTCACAGTTTCAGCCTCCCCAAACTTCGTATTCTCTCATTTAACCTTGATCCTTCATACTTCTTCCTCCTCTTCGTAAAAAAAGACTCCTTCTAACATGGGTTTATGAGCAAAGGACTTATAAACAAATGTTTTATTTTAAACACATTTTATCATGCTAGGTGCAATCACAATTAAAAACCAAAACTAAAGAATCCAGTGGAAGCATCCTATTGAGGCTATATACGTTTAAGAAGCTTATATTTGTTGTTAACAGGAGAGCTATTTTAATGAAATACACTTAAAAACTCAATGCTTTAGAAACAACTGTCATTTTTTCATCAATTTGTAGGGATGAAATGGACAAATTGTTTTGCATGTTCTCTTGTTTTATTAATATGGATTATCTTAGCAATTCCCTTCTTAAAGGCCCAATTTCATTTGACTTTAAATTTGTGTTTGTGCTTTAGCAACAGAAAATCAGATGAAGCCAACTTAAGACTGGAATTAGTTTCCTACAGTAAATCGGATTGTTAACCCCGCCTCCTCTAGACTGTCTCCTTTGCAAAGGAACCAGTCTTCCTGAAATGTCATATGTCAAGTCTTGTTGTTGGGCAGATTCTTCAGTTTTTGAGGATGGAGGAATTAAGAAAAATAATTTTATAATTCTGATGATTAAATATTTTTTCAATGTTATTTTGGAGTTGATCTATGCTATTCATGTTTGCTTTCTTTTTCTTTTGAATCTCATTTGAAGGCAAACATTTTTTAGTTTTGCTTTTGGGGTATGCAGAGACAAATACAACACAAATACAACCATGTTCTTCTTTTCTTTAATAAGGTTAATCCAAGAAGAGAAAGAGTCAACAGAACTGCGTGCCGAAGAGATAGAGAACAGAGTGGCCAGCGTGAGTCTGGAAGGCTTAAATCTGGCCAGAGTCCACCAAGGTACATCCATTACTGGCTCCATGACTGCATCCTCACTTGCAAGCTCATCTCCTCCCAGCGGACACTCAACTCCTAAACTTACCCCTCGCAGTCCAGCCAGGGAGATGGACAGAATGGGGGTTATGACGCTGGTAAGAAACTTTGTGATGCCAATTTTAGGTGTGATATTTCTAGTATTAAATACTTCATCTTTTCACTGTATGAATGACTTATGTCTCTAATTCTTTATTCACCTCTTCATCATACAAACAGATGGCAAATTCCCTAGAATATGGAAGTTTGCGTGGTTTTGGGTTTTGTTATTGTGTTTTTGAGCATTGCATGATTCACCAGGGACATAATGATCTAAGGATCAAGAGTCTTCAGCACACAGGCAGTGGAATTAATAACAAACAGAACTGATCTTTGGAATTAGTGTAATCAATTTATATGTAAAAAACGTTTACTGATGAAAAGCTCTGAAGTAATACAGTAATTATACAGTAGTTTGTGGGACTATTGCTGAGTTTAAACCTTCAAGAAATGTCTAGAAGACATTAAAACCTTCTACTACTTCATATATATGATCATTTGGATATACTTCTATGTTTGGTATTCTCTTTTGTACTTGCAGCATTTTGTATGTATTCTTCATGACTGTATATCAAGCACTTGAAATAAGTGCTTTGTTTTCCAATAATACATTTAACTGATATATTTCAACATTGCAAGCAGCACACATAAATAGATACCAAGCCATCAAATTATCATGCAAAGCATTTCTAATATTACTGTACCTTTACAGACATATTCTGAAATGTCTGGTTTGATTTGAAAAGAGATTTGCGAAATATTTTATTTTGGTCCCAGACAAAAAGGAGCAGTGCAACAGTCAAGTGAGTGAAGGTAGTATATGTCAACATATTTAAGATGTACAACTCTGATATTGATAAGAGTGCAGACGCAGGGTGCAGTGTTCAGTGTGGGCTACAAACCAGTTTGGAGCCTGGGTGAATTCATCCCTTTAAGCACTACGAGAGAATCAAAGCAGCCCTCTCTGCTGATCTCTACATACAGTGAGAACAGGATATGTGTAAAAGCCCATTTTTTATTTGCTATTTCTGTGATAATCTGAATGTCATCGATGTCCCCTTGTGGTCCATTCCTGGGAAGTAGCAGCACTGGTTCCCCGTGGAGCTTCTTAGCAGAGGGGAAGTGAGCTTTGATCTCAATCAGAAAGCAGAAATTAACTCTCCTAGCCAAGAAGGTTGCTAAGAACAGCTGGGAATGGAGCCTGGCTGTTCACCCTGCTCAGCTGGGAGTAGGGACTTTTGTCTACCATCATCTAGCTGAGTACTCCCTTTTCCTGGGAACTGACAACTATTTGTATCCACGTCTACCCCTCCCGGTTTAGGATGGTGTTTGCTGCCTTCTTGGGAACTAAAGACAGCAGAGAGGAGGTCAGGGCTGGCAGCTGTGGCAGACTGTGGCACTGATTCTTTGCTGCCACCAGTTTCCACTGCTGAACAGCAGAAAATGTTTGCGGCGCAGACCGTTGTGGAGGAGGTGGGTGTGCAGGCTGCCGCGGTGCCACCCACTTCACCAAAACAGCACCTTCCCGAATATGCAGTTTGGCTCCATTTCACCAGCTGTTTAAACTCAGCAATCTGGCTACAGATAAATGACAGTGGTTAAACTGACCTTCCAGCAGGCACCTACACTGCCTGGTTGCCTTGATTTGGACACAGTAGCTTTGGGTCAGTAGGTTCATCAGATTCAAATACGAAATGACAGCATGGCCTCTGCACTTCAGGTTGCCATGGCCTCACTGGCACCCAGCTCTAGCTGTGCTAAAGCTCAGATGGATGTGTCTGTATGAGTTGCAGTTGAACTCTTCATATATCATAAGCTATAGAAGTAGCACCCCACTGCGTGCTCAACAGCGCAACCCACAACTTTGCTCACCGTCATCAGCCATTTCAGGACACTTCTGCCCTGCTCTGTGTCAGCAGGAGTTCAGTGTTGACTATCTCCTTTTCCTTACTGGCTGGGGATGGACACAACAGGCTATCAGACATCCTCTAAGTGGAAACTTTGAGTTGGGAAGAGCTCTGTTAAGGTCTGGTCTCTAAAGCCCAAATTGCCAAATGATCCTGTAGGGTTTGGCTGGAGGAGCGGTACTGCTCCTGAGTTTCCACGGCCCAGGTCCATGCAGTAAATAAATTCTGCAGAGTATCTTCAGCTTTCCTTGAATGAATGAGACATCTACCAAAAACAAAAATGGGGTTGAACAAGACACGTTCTAGCAGCCTTCTACTGCCAAATAATGCTGCAGTACAGAACATGGGTGAATTTGTATCCATTGACTGAAAATGCCAGTCACAATAATATGGGATAATTGGAGAGAAAGAGCCCTTTTTCGACATGGTATTTGTTGATGATATTTTGTGTTTATACTTGGTGAGACACCAATACATTTGTAATATTAGATAAAACTAAAGAAAAAAAAAATCTCTGTGTTGGGCATAGTGGAAGGATTTGTATGAAAACTCCAGAAATAAAAAGTGCTACTATAAGATTGCAATGTCCTATTCTTTGCTAAGCTTATGAAAATGAAGGAGATTGTAACTTTAGAAAAAATAGCTACTTTCCCAGAATGGTATATTTGTCAGGGGTTATCTTATGTTATGACACCAAGTGTATAGTTAGTATATAATATGGATAGTATTAAATTAATGAAATCTCCGCTTCCCATTTCTGAATGTGAGAAGAATGAGTGTATGGCAGTTTATTATGCTCAAATAAGACTTATTAATCATTCTTTTTTTGTTGTTGTTGCTTTTGTTACCAATCTAAGCCAAGCGACCTAAGGAAACATCGGAGAAAGGTATGATACTGGGGTTTTTTTTAAGTTTGGGAGAGCACATTTATCATATTCCTCTGCTATTTAGATAACCTTGTTCCTTGCCAGCCCTCCGCTTCTTTTCATTCGGTTCCTTTACATAATCATTTTAATCCTACCTGGAAAGGCTTGCAGGGGTCACAGCTAAGCCATAGAATCAAGGCCCACTAGTGATACCTTTGAGTTGTAGCCTCTACAGCACAAACTTAAAGGAACACAAAGAAAGTGTGGACACAAAAGAATTACCTTCAAATGTATTTTGGGCCATTCTTCTTGCTGGAGGAACCAGAGTCAGGTTACTTGAAATCTTCTGGAGTGATACAAAGTTGTTTACAGAATTGGCAGTGAATATGGGATTTATCTTTACATGAGAGGAGATGGTACTTAAGATAAATTGTTATATGCTGTGACAAAACTCCTTTTTGTTCATGCTTATTTTCAAGCATTCTGACCATTTTGTTAACAAGCTATGGAGAGAGTGGTCCTGTTTATGTCTGTATTTACCCTCTCCCTTACATCCCTGAGAAATTTTGTTTACTTGAATAATCCTGTTTAATGCAAGAGACCCGCTCATGTCTAAGGTTATTTTCATGTTTAGACCTTTACTAGATCAACCTGTTTGGCATAAAAGGAATGAATTTCTTCTCCAAGTATAATCTCTTTTCTTTCAAATATGTACTTTAAGCTGCCATACTTAGGCAATTGTTCTTTCCCAATAGTCTCTTTCAAAAATAAGAATCCTTACAATTTGCTCAAAAAATTGCAGTTGAATCCATACATGCTTCAGTTCACTTGACAAATTTGTGCAGCGTATGTTGAAACTTTCTTGAAAAGCTAATCTGCTCTCATGGACTCTTTCTCCCCCAGATTGCAGTAGTTGAAGAAGATGGGCGTGAAGATAAAGCCACAATCAAATGTGAAACTTCTCCTCCCCCAACACCCAGAGCTATCAGAATGACTCATACCCTTCCTTCTTCATACCACAACGATGCCAGAAGGTAAGATATTTGCAACATGAATTGGTGCTTCACTGTTTTACTGCATATTATTCTTTTCAAATCATGTTGTTTTTTAACTATTCCAAAATGACCTGATTTCTTCAGGTTTCTAAATCATTTAAGGAAGAAGATGTTATTGTTTCACTTGTGGGGAGATTATTACTGAGGTATAACCAATTAATTTGTTTGCAGAGCTGCTCAGAAGAAAATAAAAAATTACCTGCAAATTTACGAGTTATCTATTCAATTTCTTTGTTATCATTTTGTAGTAGTTTGCCTGCTTCACTGGAGCCAGAAAGCATTGGTCTTAGCAGTGTCAACAGCAGCCAGGACTCCCTGCACAAAGCTCCCAAGAAGAAAGGAATCAAGTCTTCAATAGGACGTTTGTTCGGTAAAAAAGAGAAGGCTCGACTTGGACAGCTCAGTAAGGAATTAGTGGTAACAAGCCAAGATCACCATTTCACAGTCATTTTTCCATTTTTAATTTTGCTTCTTTTCAGTTTTCCAATTTGCTTATTTTTCTCTTTAGTCTGGCAGAACCTTCCCATTAAGCTTCATTGCTATCAGCAATTATATTTGTCAGGAGTCTGCTATGACTATAACGCAAATGAAAGGAGACTTCTGGCACAAATTACTAGAGTCATCCTCTTCACTGAACCTACTGCTTCAATACTCTCTTGAATGAGGGTAAAAGTGCTAACAGTGTATTCTCAAATAATCAAAATAAAGAGGAGGTGAGAAAGTAGTAAGTAATAAACCACTATAAGGAGTGTAACTGTGTGATATGGAAGGTCCTTGCAAGTAAATGTAGTTGCTTTTCAGATTTCATTGTGTCAATAGATGTCTGCTAGTGCCTATCACTGAATGTCCTCACCACAGTCTTTCAATTAGCTATGCTGCTCACAGCAATACTTTGTTTTCTTCCTCCTTCTTCTGCCCGTTTCCCTTGCCAAGACTTTAGTTTAATTTATTCCTAGTAAAAATTTTCCTCTGTGATATTCCATAGGATATGTCTATACCACATGCAAAAAAACCCCAGTCATAGCATAGTTAGGTAGCATAAGCAATGGAAGGTGAAGTGACAGTCTTCAGCAAAGGCTCACAGTCTACATGCCCAGATAGGCAAATACATCCTTACTCTATATTGCTAGGCTATCTGATTTAGCTAGATTAAGATTAACATATATACACATGCCAACACATATATACACATGCCAACAAGCATCAAATTGGTATAGATGTGTCAGTAAAATAGAAATACTAGCTCTTTCCTAGTCATGAAGGTGTCACATAGTACGAATTTGTGAGGCACTAAATTTTTACTGCCATGGTGACCACATAACACCTGTAAAAGAATTTTAAGAGTTTGCAGTAACTGTAAACGCTTAAGCAATATGTAAGCCTGAAAATAAAAAACTACATTAATATTAAAACATATCCTTGTCACAACTAACAAACCCATCACTAAAATCATACAGAATAAAATAAGGTAATGTTAAGGTTGAAGTATCAGAGTAAAATCAAATAACTGAGCGTTCTCCATTTATACTCCAACCTTTCTTCTTTCTGCCTGTGAGAACCTTGTGTTCTTGAAAAAAAACCCCTAGTATCTAATCGCATTTTAAATTCCTTTTTTCTCACTATGGGAAGAATAAAACTGATTTATTCAATCTTTTTCATAGTTTAAGGTATTTCAGAATCTATTAAATGAGTCTCTCAAATATACCTGCATGTCACCATCTGCACTAATGGAGAATTTTATAACTTTAAACTGCGTTATTAATTCACATTTACATTCCATAAAAACAATTTTATTGATACTGATGGATTATGCATAATAATCTATGATTTCACAGTAACTCAGGAACATAGAGGACAAAGATGTAATAAATGTGTTGGTCTTCCCTGCAGTTCCTTGCAATGTGGAACAAAAATAAAATATCAACTTTAAATATTGTCTCAGGAGCAGTGTAATCTGGCAATAGATTAATTTCTTAATAACACCCAACATGATTAATAAGACATATGTATAATTGGATAAAGCCTATTTGTAATTCCCAACAGTAGCTCATGAAATTGCAAAAAGATATTAGTGAAGATTTGCAGTTAAATGAAATTTTGTGGCTTCCACCCTTTAGCTCAACAGCAAAGATTTCAGTATAATGCACATTTTAATTAAGCAAACTAGGTTTACAAGCATGTATAAAATTAACAGTAGGACTGTTAACTGACCAAAAAATAGGAGCAAAATATTTTTAGAAATTGAAACAATATTGAGCAGCTGAAATATAGAGTAGTTTTTCTCATCTTAATTTTTAAGATACCGAAAAAAAAAAAACCCACCATTGAGTGACAGTTTCCATTCAGTGGCAGTACTTTAAAGACAAAACAAAATTCAGAAAATAGCAATCATGGTAGTACTTGAATCAATTCCATGACAGGTACGCTTTCTGTGCAGCTATATAATTAATAGGTCTATTTATAGTAAGATACTATATCACAGAAATCTAGATAGTAAGTCCTATCATCACTGTACTGCAGTATATTTGTATATTTTTCATAATCTAAATTTATAATGCAAAATCAATGAAAGACTTTCATTTAATTCCTTGCTTAAATTAAACATTCTGATTTGATGTAGGTACATACTTCTTATGGCTTTGAATATGGAAAATACCTTTTCTTCAATAGCACGTCAAATACTGAAGAGGTAATAAACGTAATTTTGAGCCTCAGAAAAATTAATTTGTTTTCTTATATGCATATTTGCACATGCACAGAATTACGCTTAAAGGAGCACTTTAGAAGTTCATGTCAATGCGGAGGATATTAGGGATCCCAGTGATATCAAACATTTTAAGTACAGATAATACTTCTGTAACTAAATCTATAATATAATATGTCTAAAGTCACATGTAATATATACTCGTATTTAAGAAGCAATATTGGAACCTCCAAAGTTTTATCACTAACTTCAACAGAGCCAGGCTATCACCCAAAAGATTTCCTTGCTCTGCGTTCCCTGCAAAACTCTGAAATTATTAGTTTTTAACTGCTAAACTTGCCAGAGTTTCATTATTTTATAATTTGCTACTTTTACCATCTCTGCTAAACCATTTGCGTTATTGTTGAAAGGCAAATTCATGCCTTAGGAGATCTTTCTTAGAATTAAGATTCAAGATTTTTAGATCATTCAAGATTTCTTTTAATTGTTGGAGAAGGAAAAAGGAATGTTACAGGGAGCACGAGTGCCTTTTGTTTCTTTTTTTATTTCTTTGTTTGTTTGATTTTAAACTTATCCAGTCTTCTCTCACTTGGGGAATACCACACTAGACACTTCCGTATTCTTCCCATTTTACATTTTAAATATTCTAGTCCCTAAAACAAACAATACGTTACAGGGATTTTTAGCCCTGCCCAGGCAAGCTGATCTGTATGGTGTATGCAAAGGTCAGCTTGTCAGGAAACATTTACCATGGCCATCTGCACGCCTGCAGATACTGACAGGCACAATCACTACATCCAGGACAATGTACCCTGGGTTATTCAAAGGGCCAGATTTGTTTGTCTTGTGGTGAAGTCCATTATGCTAAGAATACTTTCCAATCTGTGATGAACCCTCATTGCGCTGCACTCATACCATCTATATCCAACACACTGCGAGCTGCTCAGAAAGGTGAGATATATTGATACAGCAGTTTGCTAAATTAAAAATTTACTCCAGAGTCAGCAAGAAACATTTCCTGAGATATTCTGTAAAACTTCAAAAGGCAGATGAAGTAAAGCAAAGTATACGTTCATGTTTTCTGCATTTGTGATTGGAGGCATCATTCTCATCATGAAACTTGCAGAAGTAGTGTCCTCTTTAATAAAGAAAAATTCTGTCTAGACAAGCAGGAAAGTTAAAACTACACCTGCTTTGAAAGGACAGCTTAAAACCAGGCTTTTCTAAGTTAACATCATAAACATGATACAGCAGTAGATTTTGTTCTCACTTGATTGAGGTACATGTAAATGTGACTTGTAAAAGGCTGTGATGCTATTTCACTATATAACATTTACGCATTATTTTATGGTTAAAATCAACAAATCAGAATAGAAATCTTTTCATTTATACTGTGTTTTCTTAATTATGCCAGTGTCCACTCTACAATTGTTCTCTGTCCACTAGCGGAGAAATAAGAAGTTGCCATTGCCAAATGAAGTCAAGCACCAACATTTACCATACTGTTGTCTTCCTTCTTGTGCCACTTACACACCTTCTGAATAGCAGCACAGGAGGAAAGCAGCCTTCAAAGAAGTGCTGCAGCCTCTCTGTCTGCACACATACATGTGCAAATAAGCGGACAGCGTGGAGCCGGAGCCAGAGCCAGGAGACTGTACTGACAGCTCCATAAGCAGGTCCCTTCTTCCTTGAATCCAGGCAGCAGTAAAAAAGTCAGAGCATCTTTCCACTTCTGCACCAGGAAAGTCACGTTAGCAGACATATCGTATGATCAGCATGGATTATGCAATACCAGTGTTGTCCTTAGTTTATGATATGATTTTATTTTGGTCCAGGTGTCCTGGTTTACTGCAAGCTTCCCTTGTCACTCTATGAAAGTTATTCAAATTCCCATGACTTTGACAGGACTTAGGTGCCTACAAGGCACCTCCAGGGAGATCTAGGAGGCTTTTTACTTCTCTGACAGCTTCTTTGTGTCACCTCTGGCTTAGGAGTTTGCAGGGATAATGACATCAAAGACTCTAAGACTATGAGAGCAAAATAAAGACTTTAGTATTACAAGATGAAGTGATGCTGTATTATGTCAATAATAATGAGACAGTTCTTGAGCTGGCACTTTCATTTGTAGATTTCCCAACCAAGATTAAAAAACTGTGAGGGCATTGCTTAGGACCATGAGACTGAACCTTAGGAGGCAAAGAAAAACAGGCAAAGAAGATCAGGATGCTTTTCTCGTACATTTCTGCTAAACACAAGGAGGAGGAAACAATTTTCCCCTCTACTTCTACTCTTTTCCATGTAGTAAAGGCTTGCCAGAATTTACTTCTATAGGTGATAGTGCTCTCCACAAACACCAGATGTCATGGGTTAAGGAAACAAACATAGGTGATGGTGGCAGGTGGGAGGGGGATTGAAGGGTTAAGGAGGGGAAAGAGCTATGGGAAAATACGGTGGGGTTTGGTTTGGTTTGGTTTGTTTTCCAGGAGGTTACATGGAAACAGAGGCAGCAGCTCAGGAATCTCTGGGATTAGGCAAACTTGGAACCCAAGCAGAAAAGGACCGAAGACTAAAGAAAAAGTGAGTAGCTTTTTCATGTGACTTTCATTGGCTCAAACTTGATTCAAATGTCAGGTTTTGTGTTGGTTTTACGCAGATATGTAATGAGAAGCAAGACCATCTACTACGGCAGTTTACCACTTAGCGTGTTTTTTTCCAGTGTAAAAGTTTTTAAAGCTGCATACAATATATAGGGGAAAATATTTAGAGTCTGACAATTGTACAACAGTGTTTCATTTGTGAAAGAACATAGGTTTATGAGAAAGAGGCATTTTCTATTTCACATTGTCATTAATTCTGTTTCATTTGCCTTCCGTGCAATTCTTAAAAAATAGGCAGGCATTTAATGACTCACTAGATAGATTTTTCAGAAGGGGAAAAAAGATTTTTTTGCATTATCTATTGAACACATGATTATTTCTGTCTACAGAAGTCAAAGGCTCCCCATAAACCCTAGCAGCTTCACTTTCTTTTTGCCTGTCAGCAAATGGCAACCTAGTTTTTTGTTCGCATACATTACATAATAATTTAATGCTGTCTGTGGTGCACCTCCTTGTAAAACCAGTACACTGACTCATAGCAGCTGCCAGGAGCTAAGAAGAACTATTAAAATAAAGCTACAAACACAAAAGAAACCTCTTGGCAGCATCACAGTTCCAGTGTAATTAGAGGGTGTCAGAGAAAAAAGATGGTGCTTAAAAATGACTTTGTAAATTCATTCTGTAAACAAACAGGTTTATTCTTCATCCATAACCATTAACTTTAGTGCTATTATTTGGATTCTGAAAGCCTCATTTTTAAAATTTGTAGGGTTTTCAGGTTTCTTTCAGTCTTTTAATGTTCCTTTGCAAAGTTTCAAGATAATTTGCAATTCTAATCCAAAGAATCTAGGGATAATGTTTCAGCTTCTCTTTAAATTTATATGTAGAATATTTTTAATCACTACTTTCATATCAAGCTCCTGATGAAATATAACTTTAAATGTACACATCCATGTAATGTACAAATATGTGTTCCATTTAAATCAGCCTCAATTTAGCAATTAAAGATAGAGAAGCAGTCATTGTGCTAGCTGAGAGAGAAGAAACATTTTAAATTCAATTAAGAAACTCACAATAACATTCACAGGGATATTGCAGTTGATGAGTCTTGTCCCTGTATTGTCTATACATTTTTATCACTTATTAGTCATTTAGAAATATATGGATGTAAAGAGTATATTACTATGTGTTTTTATTAAATCTAGAAAGCATCTTTGAGACCGTCATTACCATTCGTAAAGAATATAATTGAATTTTCAGCAACCTTTTTTTTGCAGTCCCTATTTATCTTCCAGCTCTGAGGATTGAACATACCACAGTATTGAAATACCTTTGAAGGGACAAATGTGTTCACTTAGTTCACTTTCTCGTATGTTAGTTCCTTAAACTGGATAAAATAACATAAGACTTGACACATACTACTGCATACATGACATGACTACTTCATATATGACAGTGGCTACAAAGTTTTGGGTCTGGAAATAGTAGGTGTACAGGTAATCTGTTATTAGAGTTCTGTCTAATCTCACACAGTTAGACTTTTCCATGCTTTCTGCTTTTCAAGTCTTTCCTTTATTTCTCCTGTGTCTGTCTATCCCTGGTTCTTTATGGATTAGATATAATCAAAATGTTCTATGGTGGAAGGAAAGAAATCTTTCCTTTGTGGCTATGACTATTCATCTAGTCTAAACTGTATACTATTTATCTTAAGTATATGTTATATACCTATGTCATGAAGATTTTTAATTTTTTCCCCCATTCCTTTAGATTTGTCTGCCTTCATGATTTCTCACATTGGAATCCTTACGACTGTTTTTAAGATTCCTCTTAAGTTACTATCAGAGAAAGGTTAACATACGTTGCTAGTTCATATATATATTATATAGTTGTAGAGGAACTGTAATATGGGAAAAACGTAATGTTTGTGTTAGAGATAATTCAGTAGAATCTCATGTATATGATAGTCATTAGGGTGCCAAGCAATCAATAGGGTTTAATAGAATTAACATTTCCTTGTAAAAAATGCAGTTAGGTATTTGCATGTTTTACCTTGGCAAGTACTAAGTTGAAACAGTCCAGAAAGTTATTTAAATGAAAAGTTTGTCCCAGTAGGTCAGATTCTTTTTTGCCAACACTTAACAATGCATAACTCCCTCTGGAGGTAGAGCCTTCAAATACATACAGTAGCTGCAAGATTACTGATCTGGGTAGTGCAAATGAGAATGCTATTCAGTGTAACATTAAGGATGATAGTAATGTGTATGAGGTCTTTATAAGAGGTATTAAGAGAAGCCTGAGAATCATTTGCTGTTTCGTGATGTAGCAGCAAGATTTAGGTCCAAGTGTTTGATTCCTTTTTTCTGCTAAACAGGCCCTGCAGAGACAGGGAACAGAGAGACCAGAGCTTGCTTTATGCTAGCTTTGTCACTTCCTTAGGAAAAAAAAAAACAAACACAAGACTGTGATCCCAGAGCCAATGCCCTTTTCTATAAAGCAGGAATAATACCATATACTGAGCTTGTGTTTCTCTCTTACACATGTAAGTCAAGTGAAATGGCTTTCAGCCCTGTTAACAGCTCAGTGAACTTCTTTCAGTTCAATGGTAGTTCTGGTGGAGGAAAGCAAGGATTCTCCCCTTGACATGAAACGAGAGGTCTGATTCATCACTGTGGTCAACACATTCTCACAGTACTCATTACCCACGCCAGAGTTTGCAATTAGCTTTGAGTTAGTAAATTAAAATTGGATAGAAGTTATTACAAAAGAACAAATTCCTGTTAAAATGTCATCCATGATATTTCTTTCAGTTGAAGTAATCTCTTCAGTGAAAAATACCTTAAAATGCTAAAATTCTAATTTTGCATTTTCTAACATATTCAACTTCATCAGTAATTCAGCAAGGATGCCCCTACCCCAGGGATGAAGAAGCACGATGTTTCAAATTGTCAGCTGCTGCAGCCAGTAGGAGCTAATGGTCCACCAGGTGTCCTGGCCACCTGCTCCCTGAGTGGCAAGCACGTGCATTGACCCTGCTCTGGCCTCATGGAGTTAGAAACACACTGCAGCGTGTTATACTATTTTAGCACAATTTACATGCATAGAATAGATTACTGAATAATACATTTCACTCTGAAAAGTTTCATGAGAGAATATGATAATTCTGGAGACCAATTCTCTCTCTGGTGGTTATAGTGTCATTAATCTAAATTTCAAAGTTTTTCTGCTTCTTGCTTAGAAGATGCTATTTAGATGTAAAATTTCTTTCAGTTTCAATTGACTACTTAGGCATCGTTAAAATGTAATTAGCAGTTTGTCTCAATGATATGCCAGACACTTATAAACCTCAAACAAGAGTCTCTATTCATCCAACATTTGGTTATTACAGTAGATTTATTAGGAACAAGTCTTTCTCTTAAGGCATCAAAGAAAAATTAAGGAAGCTGTGTAGAATTTTTTAATTATACCCAACATGTTCCTAAAATCATCTGAAAAGATGAACTTAAGTTGCCTGAATCATCCATAGATGTTTACTCTCAGACATTAAATATAGGACAGGTCTAGTTAATATTAAAACTTTTTAAGTCTTACTATTTGTAAATTGAGCATGCAGTCCTAGAAAACAAAAAATGAATGTCAGGGGTATTTAGAATGTTTAGGGTGTTATTCCATTATTTGGTGAAAATAAGTGATGTTGGGGTGTGATAAAGAATAATGCACTGCATCTTTATTGTAAACTAGCCTTTATATTCCACTTCACTTGTTCTATACAAAAGCTGTTAATATTTTGTATATAATGTCTTCTGTCTTTTGTCTGACTCTCAGAGCCTGTTTGCCTAACAAGTAACTTCTTCAAGAAAACTCAGAGTTTAGGACTAAAAGCATTAATGGCGCTGATACCCTCTATGTCACCATTACATTCATTTGAATGCCCTAATGATTCAAATAATTTGCACTCATCTAAATAATAAATTTTATTTGGTTAAGATATACTTTCCAGAAGGCACCCATCACTGAAATGAGGAATGGAGCTTTTCTCTTAGTACTTTTTTTCTAGTGAGTAATCAGTCTCCCCGTGAAAAATGGTTACCTAATTTCCCCTGTGAAAAATGGTTACCTAATTTTCAATTCTGAATTTTGTAGGTGCTTCCTCCATGACTGTGTACACACTATCCCAGCTGTTCATAAGATCATCCTTCATGGGTGTTTTTGCACCAAATAATATGATGGTGCACAATAACTTGGCCTTGGCGTTCACTCAGGGTTGTCATGGTAGCCCAAGCTGGGACCAGCATAGGAAGTTTCAGGTCAGTCCAGTTTCTATCTCAACTCATAAAGGTTCGCGGAGGGTTCAGTTACACGCATAGTGTCCTCTGGGACAGCAGAAGTTGATCAGCGTGTGTCCCACAAGACAATTCATACCTCAGAAAAAGAGTAGATAACACTGTGCCTAAAATCAAATAATCTGTACCCCCCTTAAAAACACATATCCCTACTGACCTTATCTCAGGTAGCAAATTAAGGGACTTAACAGAAGTTCTGTAAATGTTTTACTGTCCTTTTCACTAAAATACCATATGATGGTATTTTTACCATTATAAAAATCTTCTTTAACAATTAACTCAGCCAAACTTGAAATATTATCAACAAATGGAGCCATGTTTGCTTCCCTTTTTGCTATAACTGTATTCTCCTTGTCCACAGTTTTGCTCAGGAGTGATGTCAAATCGTCCTTACCTAAAGCCTCACTAGTGGCAAAGACAGCTCTAGAGAGTCTTGCTTTGTCTTTCAAAGTGCAGTATAGCTCTGAATGCCAGTAACATATATCCTTTTCAAATGCAATGTTTGATTTGATCTGCAACAATATGCAATGTTGCAGCAAGTAAGTATCTGCCTGAAGAAGGAAGCATGCTGAAGACAGATAAGACATATTTGTCTTCTACGTTGCATAAAAGTATGTAATGGCTGGTCCTAATCACTGATACTTCACAGAATGTGTTTATTTCATCCTCTGCAAGGCACCAACATAAGGCAAGGTTTGAGAGACATTTAAGCCACATGGAGGTGGATTTGAGCTTATGCATGCTGCTAGTACAGTTTGAGATTGGCCTATGCCACCGCTTCCTCAGCAATCCCAAATACAAATTATCTCCATGAAAAAGAATTTACATGCAAGTCAGCTAGTCTGGATCATACTGACAGGATTCCAGCCCAGAAGCTGATGAATTCCCCAGTTTATTAATACGAGCATTTGAGTAACGATCATTACTTACCGCATAGCCGATGAAATAACTGCACTGTGTCATAATGCTATCACTCCTAGTCATCTGGCAGCATTAGGATGAGTCAAAAGCAGAACTTTAGCTTCACTTTTTTCTTCAATTTTGTTTGATTTGACTCTGGACAAGAATCTATTAATTCCACATTTCCAAAACAAGCTTAAGGTGTGAGGTTTATATTTTCCAAGGAAAATCAAAGTAAACCATTCTTTCCTATGAACCTGTTTTGGGGAGATTTACCCCACAGGTACAGGTTTTTGTTTGCCAGATATAGCAAGTAGTCTTCAAGTGGCTTGCAGAAAAGCCTTGATATGCCAGGACACGTACATATGCTTACATACATGAATGAAGACTTGTAAAATCAAGACCTAAGTAATTCTCATATGTAAAATTACAGTGTAAAAAAAATTCTTAGTATTCATAGCCTTATAATTAACCTTGCAGAGAGAATTGCAATGCTGTTAAGTCTCAGCTGACTACAGTGATGTACATATTAAACAGCAGTAACTTCCATATGAACAGAAGAGCATGTTGTATTGACTCTTCTTCCTTTCTACCTAGAAAAAACAGAATGATAAATGTTGATAAGTTCCTTTGATAAATTTGACAGATTCCTAATAATGCTTCAGTCCTTTTCTTTTGTTGGTTTTCATTTGTATATATCCTTCAAAAATTGGGAGATGATAGAGAGAAGTCACAAAAAATAGGCCTCATGTTGTGGTAGTCCACATTTAAATAAAATCAGTAAAAGAAAACAGAACACTGGGACTTCCATTTTTACAGCAAATCTAAGTTTTAGATCCCTGTCAACAGGCTACTTGAAAAAATGTCTAGGTAGACCTTTTTGTGGAATAAGGGTTTGAAATGCTGTAGTTATTTGGTTGCTTTTGAATCCACACAATGCCCCTTTAATTAGGTTTTATGTGTGCAACTGCAATTAGAATTTGACATAGTGTATTTGTGACTACAAATAATCTGTCCTCTGCAGTATACAAATAGCTGTTTCTAATGATTTTCTTAATTGCACATATTTTGAAAAAATGAATCCAATTGGATTAATTAAGGTCTCTTTCTGTGCCATCCATCTCATGTTCCTGTATACTTAATGCTTATTAAACACCATTATATCCTAAACGTACCTGATTTATTTTTTTACAGTAGCTCTTAAGAATACGATGCCTTTTTTCCCCTATCTTTTATTTACTGAATCTTTAAGAAAATTCAAGTTTTGCATTTAATTTCTTCCCTTCCTACCTCATCTATGAGAAACTAATGTAGTTAGTTGTTGTTAGTAGCTTTCAGACTGATCTTTAGTTCTTCCTCCCTTTCCAGCAAACAATACTGTGTTCAGTAGCTATTATTTTCTATTTTCTCATTCCAGTGGAGGAAGGAGAGGTATGCAGTGTTCTGATAGGCAGTTTAGGATTGTCTGCTATGTCCACCATGGTTTTCTCTTGGCTGGATCGGTGTCTAATCCTTGAGACATACATACAGATGAATTTTCTTTTTAAACTTAATTCCTTTAATAAACATTTTTAACACTTACTGGAAGACCCTTTCAAATCATTACTCAGTCAAAGCTTTTGCAATGTTAAAAATGTATCTTGCTATTACATTAGATGCTTGGAGCCTTTTTAGCATTACAAATGTAAGGATATATTGGTATTTATCTTGCAGAGGATTATTAAACCTTACCCAGATTATTCTGAGGATGAAAAAATTGATACAACATAATTTATTCTATATCTAACTCATATATTTTTAAAAACCTTGTATTTTTAAAATAATATTTTTATCCTTTGCAAGTTTTTTTTATTCTTTTTCTCATAAAAGAAAGGGATATTTGTATGAACAAGTTGCAAGTTTTTAATCAAACAAAAACAGAATAAAGAGCCAGTCCATGCCTTCTCTACACATATAGGCCTATCTATTGCAATTTGGGATTTCTGGATAAATATAAGCATCTACCCTCATGCATGCAGCTGTCTCTCTAAATGATGATCTCCAGCAGATGAAAACATTCTGTCAGATTAACTGTAGAATTAGGACTTAAGGGAAGAATGGTTAAAACACAGCAGAGGGAAAAAATTCTATATAAGTTTTAGTTTAATATATGTCTAAGGGAAATCGTTGTGTTCCTTCAATAAAATGGTGATAAAATGGTTGTCTTATGAAAAGGTGAAAGCTAGAATTCAAAGATCCATTTTTTTTCTGCTGTGTTTTATTATTCTACAGACAAGATGCTCAGGAAGTGAAGGAATGTCCCTTGACTGGAATGGCCTTCAGTTCCCATAAGTTATGCCCAAGCGACTGCAAAGTGCCAACTCATTAAACCTGCCAGAAAATTACTCACATTCCAATTCATCCCCCTGTTTATTTCTTTCTACCCATACCCAAAGAAGTATTCAGAGGAAGATGTAAGAAGTGGGAGTTCTCATTCAATAGACTCTGGAAAGTCCAAATTAAAAGCTTTTCCAGCAAAGGTGTTCAAGTCAGTCTTTACAGTTAGCTCAGTAGAAAATGAGCATGGATCATGAATGCATATTCAATTCTAGTGCTACTTCCATAAGATTTGGTAATTGTTTGAATAGTTCTCTAGTCTATTTATATTGCATACCTTCGTTGTCCTTTCCTTCCTTAATTTTCCTTTCTTAAACTTTCTGTGTATAAATTTGTCATTTGTTTCCATCTACTTTTCTGTATCGCATTTTCTCTCCTCTCTCCCAGCTGTTCTGCTGATCCCACACACGTGAAAAAAAAAAGTAAGATCTTGAAATCTGCGCCCTCCTGAACTCACTAAAATGTCTGCAACCTCTTCTTAATTAATCAGAGCACAGGCTTTTCACCCCCAAGTTTTCTACAGCTATATCTACCAAGCATTTCTATATCTCTGTAAATCATTTATTAATAGAAATATAATATTCTGAGATGTCTGGGTTTCATTCAGGCATATAATTTTCTTTTTATGAGGGCAATTAAAGGATGCTGAAGAAAGTTTATTGTTGCCGATGGCATCCTGCTTTCTCCTACAGATACTGTTATCAATTATATTGGCAAGAATAGGTTACCTAGAGGGCAAATCACTCATACCAGCATTGCTACTAATCTAGTGTCAGTATGACTGCTCAAATTAAAATACTGCATGGTATAAATAACCATTAAAAATGTTAGTCACCTATGTACATGATATCTGCATATTTAAAAAAAAAAACCACCACAAAAACCTGAGTCTAGGTCATTTATTATTACTATGAGATATTTTGCTAAAATATTAATAAAGTGCACATAGAAACGTAAACCTTGGTTTGTAGGCCACTCAATTTTACTGTCTCTCTATTGCAATTTGCTTAAAGCCACAGGTTTGGGATTTTCAGGATTTTTGGTGTTACACAAAAATCATAATGAAATTATTCAAATCTGGGCAAAATGCTTTGATTTAGAAATCTATTCCACATTCACTGTGTTTACAGATCTTTGGCACGAATAGGTATTGTAGATGGAAGGTGTGCTGTGCTAAGTGGTACCTAATAAATAGCCAACATCAGTTTAATGAAAATCTCATTTTGACAGATGCATCTGTTCTTCACAAGAACATTTAACTTCTTTAAAGCATTCAAAGACCGGTTAGAAAGATTTCCATAGTTATAATGGTGGTATTATTTTATCTACCATATGATTTTTTTTTTTTTTTATGGACTACTATATGTTCATTAACATTTATGTGCTTTTTTTTCCATTCATCTCTCTCCATCTCATGAAAAGCATATCTGGGTAAGTTAAAACACCATGGCTGCTGAACATATTCATTTTCAGCACCATGTTTATTTTCTATGCTTTATTCTTATTTCTTTTTGTTTTTCTGTGAACCTTATGTAACAAATCCATGCAGAAAATTGACCCAAATGAAAACTTTCAAAGTATTCAAAATAATGGTAAACCTCAAAAGCATACACAAAGTCAGATCAGGACTTACTCCTGCAGGGCTTAACAGAATGGATTAACTACTTGGAGATAACTTCTGTCAATTTTTTTAAATAAACACATTTGGGGAGGTCTAAAGCCCAGAATCACAAAGACATTTAAAAGTTTAAGTCAGTGGAAAAATCATGAGAGTGAAGGCCTAGATTAGCAAATGCTGTTAAGGCACAAATTCTGTTTAATTAAATCACAGAGGACTCAAACTCGTAAACACTCTAGTAATCCAGAGTACACAATTTCTTTTTTCTTGTTTAAGCCCTCATGCAGTGTAGTAGTACAATAATATTTCATTTGTGCATATAATTTTACTATTTTCTTTTTCACCAGTTCATTTTTTTTATGTTTGGGGTTTTTTTAATTGTTAACCTGATATCGAGTTTAAAATCTTCATCTCCTCTTTGATCTATCATACAAATGTTATTTTTTCTTGAATAATTTTTGGAACTTAGGGAGAAAATTTCATCCATTCAAAGCATGTATGAGCTATAACTTTCTAAAGGTGTAAGGATAAAAAAGTCAAAGAGAACAGGGGTTTCCACATTTAGAATTTCCACATTTAGAATATGTGATTATGAAATGGCTTTATAAAAACAGATTTGATAACATCTAATCAACCTGGGTACTCCGGGGGTCTCTAATGTGGTACAGTACATACACGATTGCAAGGCTATGTATTATACAAGTCTGTTTATTTCACAGGTGTTTCATTATTTTTTTATTAGTAGCTCTCTGCAGCTCTACTTTGTTAGCGTCTGTATTAAGCATTCCTGAACATGCTTCACTTAGCTTAGTGTATGTCTTCAGAAAAAAGAATGCTGCCCTTCAGTTTGTGTACTTAAAATGTACATCTATATAGAATAATTACAGCATTGTTAAATCTGCTTTGCTAATCTATGTTATCTGGGATGCTGTTAAATTTAAGGTTATACTTCCTTGGTTTATAGATTTAAAAATTTTATAGATATTATTTATTAGTTGCATCTTGATTTCTGTATTTCAGTCATACTTTCCAAAAACTCCTTAAGGTTGGGTAAAAAACATTTTGTAAAAAATGGAAATTTAATTTTATCCATTGTTTTCAGTCTGACTATTATATCAAGTACCAAAAAGGAGAAAGAATGAGGATTTCAAATTATTTAAAAGCCAGATCACTTAAGTGCCAAAGTTGAAACATGATCTGACCCAGTTTTTAATTAGTGCAGTCTTTAAGATAGATGGACCCTTTCAGATTAAATTAAATCAGCATTATATGGCAAGTCTGCAAGTCTGAGTATCTTTTTTTTTTTTCTACTTCCTACTTTAAAAACATTTGTAGTCTTGCAGAAAATAGATAAAATGTAACTTGTTATTTTTTTATTAGACATTTAATATTATTATTAATTTATACAAATTCAACTACCTTATTTTGTCATACAGTGACCTTAGCTACAGGATTCTGGCCTCTCTTAAATATTTAGCAAATGAAAATAGAAAAGATAAAATCCAAATCCAGCTTAATTCATTAGAAATCCTCTCTCCTGAATTTTGCAGTCTTTGAATGTGAGCATGTTAGCTTTCAAGAGGCAGATGTGTTTAATCTTAACTTGAAATCATAGGATTACTCAGACAAATATAGCATATTTGGTCTATTGTTTCTGTCTATTTCTCTTCTAGAAATCAATCATGTATAATATTTTGTTGTAAACTAAACATTTTAATAGTGGTGATAATAATAATTTTAATTGTGTCAGTAATAATAATAATAATAATCAGAAGATCTGCTGGGTAAACACTTTCAGAAAAATCTCTATGAATAAAGGCCATTTCATAGAATCTAAATTGCCCATTAGCCAAAATTTTTAAATCAATTCTGCTTGTATTTTACAAACATTATTTGGCTCTTGACTTCACCGTGCCTCCTTTTCCATTTATGATTACATTTTAACTAAGAGACATTATAATATGCACAATATAATATCCCTGAGGACTTTTCATGTGAACCCTACTAGAACTATCAAAGTAAATGCTATTATTTGCAAAAATATGAAGGTCTGTGTTGAAACATTGTTCAAGTTTCATCAAGATAGTGTCTGGACTTTGTATACTGCACAGAGTGTTTGCATTATGTGTATCAGAAATCTTAAGCTGTTATTTCTTGTTTGCTTCGGGGGGGGGAGCCTCATCTTCGTAAAGAAAACTGAATGTCATTGAATAACACACTTTAAATCAAGATCTTGTTAACTTCCCACACAAAGTCTATTTAAAGATTATTATTATTTTCAATAAAGTTCATTGAGTTTTATGCAATGAGTTGGTGAGGGCTGCTGATACAGAGCTAGAATTTTCCCAGTGCAGGGGAAGGATATATATGAAATAGAAAATTTGCGGGATAATAACATAGTTTTGCTCTTACCATTTCCCCCTTCCTTTTGCTCCCCTGTACCTCTGCTGTCCAGAGGGATATTGAAGCATTCATAGTCCCCATGGTATGAGACCGTTGTGCTCTCAGCTTAGTAGGTTGATTTGGGCAGTTGTACCTGGCTTTCAGAAGAAAGGTGCTAAAGAAAATGGCCCAGTGTAACAGTATCTTTAGGAAGTAATTTTGGGGAGGATTAAACATCAGAAGTCAGTGCTAGGGAGGCAACCCTGCTTCTCTGACACACAACTCCACAACACAACTTGGCGTGATGTGATTTTTTTTTTCCTGTCTTTGATAAAAGAGTGAAGAGAGCCCACTTTATGAGGCACTCTCTCTAAAACAGACAAATACAAGCATCTTCAAATTTTGGATGAATGCTAAACAGTTGATGTTCATGAAATTTCCTGACTTTGCAAAACCAGGCTCAGGGTAATGATGTATTTTAAATAGCATATTGCAGTTAATTCCATAGTGTCTCCAGGAAGAGGGGTTTATTCTTGAACAGTAATAATGTTATCTTTAAAAATACGGCTTTAATTTGGATTTCATTCCAGTGGTAGTAAGTGGTTTAAAGCGCTATCTGCAAAATAATAGCATTTATAGTAATGCCTAATTAATGTCAATTCTTCCTTATCAGCTTGTTTTCATACATTGCCAAAAAATTAAAGGAGCATGGAAATGATTACATTTTAATTCCCTACCTCTTTACCAATGCAAAGTGGACACATTATAACATGTAGTACTTTTCTGACAAAGTCTTAAGAGGAGAAAATCCCCACATTCCCCTGCAAAGCATCTTCCAAATTAGAGAAACTGTATAATGCTATTCATGATCTCCAAACCCTATCTTTGTAATGAAAGGAAGAGGGAGTGGCGAGCTTTAGGGTATTTGTCTGTTCCTCCTGTGATCAGTTGTATGTTTTTGTAAGGAAAATTGAACTGCAGTCACCAATATTTGGCTTTGGGGACCTTCTGTTTTCAGGAAGCCAGTGACTATCCCACAGGGACAGCAGTACATTCAGGCTGTTCTAAAACATTTGGATTACGTTCCAGAATAGGCAGATCACTAGATTAATTGTTCTGAGGATTTGCACTATTGATCAAAACGATACATGTTTTTTTCTACGTAACACTTTCAACTTATTTTGAAAGAGTGGAGTTTTTTCTATAGTGCTAGTTCGTATCAAAAAACCCCGGAGTTTTCTTTGACTGCCAACTAAAGAATATCTCTCTTAGTCAAAAAAATAGAAATTCTGGGTTCAGTTCTGGTTTAGAAATTGAAGGTTCAGGTTCTGCAGATCTCCTAGTGTGTATTAAAAAGTAGTCAAAGAATACTGTTCAAAAAGTAAAATATAATTTAAATAAACTTTAATATTGGAGAGGTGTTTAGGTGAAACATCTGAGGGAAGGAAGTATAAGTTCTGAAGCATAAAATTCT